ATCAAATCTCCAGTTAACTATAGTTATGTGATTGCTCTTAATCCTGAGTTTATTATAAATAGGTAATCAAATAGTTTTCATTCTTTGATTTACCAACGGGTGAGGTTCGATCTATTGACGGCCAATAACTCGGTATTTTGGGAGTGAGATTATTTGATTATCGGTATTTATGAGATAAACAACATGAAATTTGTAGGATATGTCCCCTTGATATGTTTTGGTACTTGGATATTAAAGACACTGGCCAGTGCATGTAATCCATTAGAGAAACTATCATAGTCAAGGGAATAAATAATTGATTGAGTTACAGAAAACTTGTCAATCAATTATAGACATTCTACAAAGGGGCGATGCATATTCATGTTATAAAGGTCATTAATCTTGGAGTTCACGTTCGGGCTTTTAGTGGAGTAGCGCCGAATTAGATAATCTTTCAAAGATTATCAGGAGCCTTGATCAATGACAAATGGTAGGTCCCCAGGCTAGCTCGAGACAAGGGATGGGGTATATTATCAGATGATGATAGCTTATGGGCTACATGGCCTTGGGTTTACGAACTCAAGTTTGTATCTTAAAGAGCAAGTGGGAGATTGTTGGATATATGCTCTTTTAGTCACTAAAGTCCTATTGGGCTTCAGTGACACTTGAGCCCATGAGGCTTAGGGTTGAGTTATGTCTAAGACCTAAGCGTATATATTCATAGTTTTCTCCTCTTGTGTCTCCAAGGTGAACAGATCATCAAAAACAAACCAAAGAGGCAGACGTTCATCATCTGAACGAGTGCCCACACACTTCCCCTTCCTCCTCGAGAGATAGTTTGGAAGATCTGCCACAGTCCAGCTTCAAGGATGTTGTTCGTGCTGCGGCGCTGAGGTGAGCTGTTCGTGAAGAGGAATCCTACAAAGGAAGATTCTACACGAGACCTGCGCACCGAGAGGTAATTGTGAAACAAGGATGATTCGGTAAGCATACCAATGTACTAGGTCATAAACCGCTTCCGCATAAATCTAAGATTTCCTACAATTGTAGGTGGAGAAGAGAGAGAATACAAAGGGGAAGAATGAGGGTATTTTTGTCATAAAAATTTGATGTATTTTCTCACCCCGTGAGATTTCAAGAATACCACCTATTCAGTAGTATTTTGAAATAGAATTCTCCTTCGTAATTTTAAATTTCGTAAATTTAATTTTTTTGAAAATTTTTCAAAATTCTTTTATCAAATGTGAGAAAATAATATTTTCAATCTCACTCTCTAAAAAATTCGTAATAAATTCATCTATCAAACACTCCCTGAATATCCTAGCAATCTAATAATCACCACAACACAAAAATGATAATAAATGTTTCCTGTACAGTACATTTGCTATTATAGACTCTATTATACGGACACGCAGTTTTTTTTAGAAATGGCGTGTCGGACACTTGTCCGACACGGATACGTTCCGACACGCTTGGACACGCGTCCGGCACGCGGTTAATATTTGGGGACACGCGGTAAACTCTCGGACACATTTTGGCACATTTTTTCGACACGCGGTTAACTTTTTTCGACACGCGGTCAACGCTTGGACACGCTCGGACACGCTTTTTTTTTTTATATCTTAATTTTATTTTGTTAACTAAATATAAAAGAAATAATTTATAAATTAATTTTTTCTGTTATGAGATTTGACATGAAAAATTAACAAAGTACGAAAATTGTTATTTTTTATATCTATGTTATGAAATTTAAATATTTAATTGGTTATATGACTTATATGTATTAAATATAAATTATATTATATATATTAAAAAATTTATTTAATATCAAAACGTGTCCCACCGTGTCCAAATATGACATTTTTTAAAATTAACGTGTCGGCGTGTCGTATCGTGTTCCGTGTTCCATATCTGTGTCCGTGCATCACAGATTATCGAAAGAAAGAAAGAACTTATTTTAATTTACGTCAATACGTAGCAAGAAAGAGAGGTATATTCTCAAAATCTAATGGCGTCAAAATACGAAGGAGGGTAAAATGTAATGGCAGGAGAGGTAGAGTTCAAAAATGAAGAAAATGCTAAAATATTACTCCAAAATGATATTTTAATTTTAGAGAAATGATTTGTCATCATATTACATGATAAGGAACTAAGGCTTTTTTACCCTTATAACCTTTAATTAATAATTAATTACCAATTTGACCTTCATTTGAAACTAATTCGAAAATTTAACCCCTTCAGAAAACAAAACACCAATCTGCCCCTCTTTGACCGTTGACCATGAAGCCTACCCGGGTACACCCCTCCCTACCCTGGTATTTTTTGAAATTTTTTATCTACCCGGGTAGAGAGGGGTGTACCCGGGTAGAGTTCTTGAATCTGGAAAAATAGTTGAATTAGTTACCCGGGTAAGAAGGGTTGTACCCGGGTAAACATCCAGAGTAGCGTTTTTATATAAATGAAAAAATTGTGACAGACATGGTTCATGGACGATAGCAACGAAGATCCAAGGCTTCCTCGCCATGGCACCCCTAATGAATTTGTTTCCATCAACCAATTAGCAGGTCATTACTCTCTCTCTCTCTATATCTATCTATAGTTTTACTTAGTTGTGACGTTGAAGAAAAATGGTGAGTTTTGCAGAATTGGGACTCTTATACTGGAAGCTGAATCCAAATGATGTTGAGGAAGATTAGAGAAACTAGGGGATACAATTACATGGTAATGTTGTATTAATTTTTACTCTTATACTGGAAGCTGAATCCAAATGATGTTGAGGAAGATTAGAGAAACTAGGGGATACAATTACATGGTATTGTTGTATTAATTTTTTACTAATTTCATTTTGTTTTCTGTAATCAGAAGGTGCTTCAATTTTTTGCATTTTCATTAACCTGATAGAAATATAAATCCGAGGAGAATATGAATTGGAAAAAAAAAAACTTTTTAGCATCTCGGTTATATAAAAACGCTACTCTGGATGTTTACCCGGGTACAACCATTCTTACCCGGGTAACTAATTCAACCATTTTTCCAGATTCAAGAACTCTACCCGGGTACACCCCTCTCTACTCGGGTAGATAAAAAATTTCAAAAAATACCAGGGTAGGGAGGGGTGTACCCGGGTAGGCTTCATGGTCAATGGTCAAACAGGGGCAGATTGGTGTTTTGTTTTCTGAAGGGGTTAAATTTTCAAATTAATTTCAAATGAAGGTCAAATTGGTAATTAATTATTAATTAAAAGTTATAAGGGTAAAAAAGCCAAGGAACTAATCTTCCTACTCACAATTTAAATTAGACCCTATCTTTGATATTTTTTCCACTTTACTATTTAATTTAATGGATCCCACGTATATTGTAAGTGAGTAGAAAAATAATTTCATGTAATGTAACATAATACAAACAAAACCCTTTAATTTTTAAAAGCCTCTTAATATGTAATCAAAATCGTTCAGAAGGGAGGCATATCAAATAAAGCGTACGGATCACAAAATAAAGCGTTGCGAGTAGTCGTGGAAAAAGTACGGATCACAAACACCAATGCAATTCAAATATCGTCGTCTGGCTTTACCCAACCTTATTTGTGTACTACCCTATAATTGCAATATCATCACGTTCTTCCTCCGCCACGCGTATGGCTCACATAATTCATATACAAATTAACTTCCACTTTGAATAAAGGTGAGAGAGTAAATATAGCAAGCCTGCCCAAGTTCCAAAATGGAGGGTAATACAGTAATTTCATTATAGCATATTTAGATGGCAAAGACGGTGCATTTTTATTTATTTATTTTTTGCAACTTTGGCCTTAAAAGGAAAGCGTAGAACAAAGTCTTTTTTTGTTGTTGTTGATACAAAGCATAGAACAAAGTTAAAAAGAGTCAAACAAAACCATTTCCACTTCCTATCCTATGTTCATTTTTACTTTTGGAAAAATACTTGCTCTGTTCATTGTTCTTTCTCGGGAGTGATGCTTTTTGTGATTAAAAAAAAATTTACATCTATCATTTAACATGACACAACAAACTTTTCTACACATATAACATTTTGTGAAGCCCACACTTTTTGAAGAAAAAAGAAAAAAAAGAAATTACGGCACGCAAAACGAATCTCTATAACATTACACAATCAATTTTCCTACAACATAATACTTATAAAACCCTTAAAAAAATATATAATTATGTAAAAATTCATGTAATCGATAATAATAAAAAAGAAGAAAAAATTAAAATAAATAATTATAAAAGAGGAGGTTATACTTACAACTTATTTTCGTTTACAATCTCTTATAATCATATCTTAACCGTTGATTTTCGTCAATCAACAGTTATCATTTATTGCGAATTAATAATTAATTAATAAATTTTATTTGCAAAAATCTTAACCGTTGATTGACGAAAATCACCGGTTAAGATATGAGTTGTAAAAGTTTGTAAACGAAAATAGATTGTAAGTATAATATTCTCTATCATAAAATTACTATGAGTAAATATTCTTTTTGGTCCTCAGCAAATTTCACGATGTCCATTTTAGTCCCTAGCAAATAAAAAAAAACTATTTATGGTCCTTAAAAATTCAAAATAGATCCATTTAGTTGAAAACGTGATCCCTCACAAATTTAAAAAAACTCACATTAATTTCTCAAAAAAATTAAAATGGATTTACTTTGAATTCTTAAAAATCACATAGAGCTTTTTTATTTACTAGATAACAGACGTCATAAAAAGTGGAGCCAACAGAAAAGGATATCAACTCAATTATTATTATTAATTCACATATCATGTTTTCTTTTTATCGAATAGCTTTCCCACTTAATACACTGAACTTTGACCGCCACAGACATACGCACAAACCTGTAACTCTGCCACTAAACCAAACACCCACACACACACACCACGCTGTACCCTTCATTTTTATTTATTCATTTACTAACAGAAAAGAGTGCTACCAATCACATTAACGCCTTTTGGGCGTAGCCACCGCGATCCACCGTGACTGTGTGAAGTGAAGGGAAACGAACCATGGGAAGCTTAGACCCCACGGCGGAGGAGTTCAGGCCGAAAAACCCTAACCACGGAGACCCACCTCCGGTAACCTATTTCAGGCCAACCTTTTCTCCGCCGTGCGACCCTTACGCTTGTCCCTACGCACCCACCGGAGGACTTGAAACGGCGACGTTTTTCTATGGCGGAGGTGTCATTCCTGTTGGGGTAATTCCGTATCCATTGACACATTTCTCATACGTTGGCCCACCGGCGCTGGCTGCTCCCCCTGCGACGGCGCCGTTGTCCACGTCACCTACACGGTCATTACTGCTGAGCTTCGTGCCATCGGAGACGGCGTTTAATGAGTCCACGTTAAGGAGGGAAATGAAGGTGTTCGGGGATGTGAGAGGGGTTCAAATGGAAGGGTTGCGTGAGGGAACAGTGACCGTTCACTTCTATGACCTGAGACATGCGGAGACAGCTTTGACGGCGATTCGGTGGCAGCACATGCAGCACCAAGCAACAACATCGTTAACATTTTTCAACACACAGAGTTTACTTTTGCCGGCGGCGCGTGGGGTCGTTGCCGATGGTTCCGTGTGGGCCCATTACATCCTCCCGGCGTGTGATGCTGTTCCTGAAGGGCAGAACCAAGGGACTATCGTGGTTTTCAATTTGGATTCGGAGGTCTACTCTGATAGTCTCCGAGAAATCTTTGAAGCTTTTGGTATTTCAAAAGTCTTCTTTTTTATTTATTTAATTTTTTTTTTCTATGGCTTTGTTTTCATTTAGGCGTGAATTTATGAAGTGAGATCTGAAAAGTAAAGTAATTGAAAGAGAGAGAAGGGAGAGTAAAGTAATACCATTCTTATTTGGTATCACATTTTTTACATAAATATAAAGCCTGATACTAATTAATTAAGAAGCATGTCTATATCGAAAATTTCCATGACTTTTATTTTGTTTGTTTTGTTTGACTAAATCTAGGCCCCATAAAGGAGTTCAGACATACCCCATCAAAAAAGGATCAAAGATTCGTGGAATTCTTTGACATAAGAGACGCTGCAAAGGCTTTGAAGCATATGAACGGCAAGGAAATTCGTGGCAAAACACTTGTTATTAAATTTAGTCACGATAGGAAGTTCATATCCAAGTCCAAATCAGTGACCTTTCCTCCTTCCTCTCCACAGTCGCAGCGAAAATTCTGGCCTCGATTAGATCCTGATGCTACTATTATCTCACATTTTTCTCGTCCCCAAAAGAAATCAACTTTTACTGCAATGGCTTCTATAAAATTGGATGAAGTAGCTGGGAATGCTCCAAAGAGAAATTTCATTGAAAAACACAGCAGTGAGTCCACGGTAGAAGGCACGAAGCACCAACAACCTCCAGCTAGAAACAAATACTGTAGGGGAAAGCAAGCAAAGAAGCATGAAACTCGGTTTCTAATTAAGGAAGATGCTACGGCGGAGTCTAGTTGCATGGATTCTAGAACTAGTGTGATGATCAAGAACATACCCAACAAGTACAGGTTCGCCTATGTAGTAGGCCTTAGCCTTTTCTTTTTCTGGAAAACATAGTAAAATGTAGATTATTTTAGTCTTTGAATTAATGTGATATATTTTGTTTGCTTATATTGTGTATGTATATGTTACCTTGTTGCAGCCTGAAGCTACTGTTGAACATGTTGGACAACCACTGCATTCAATGCAACGAGCAAATTAAGGATGGCGATGACCAGCTTTTGTCATCCTACGATTTCGTGTACCTTCCCATTGATTTCAAGTATTTTCCATTGTCCTTAAACTAAAGCTTCATGTGCAATAATAATATTGATTACCATTGAACTAACTATATAGAGCAAATGTTTCATGTTGAAACATACAGCAACAAGTGCAATGTAGGATATGGGTTTGTGAACATGACGTCTCCGGAGGCAACCCTGAGGCTCTATAAGGCATTCCATCTTCAGCCCTGGGAGGTGTTCAATTCAAGAAAAATTTGCCAGGTCACCTATGCCAGAGTCCAGGTATTTTTTGTTACTATTATTATTTCCAAGTTATTGAAATTTGTTTATGGTAATATATAAAATTTCACTCATCAGGATTTATGGGTAACAACAGCATGAAATATTGTATTTAAAAACGACATTATTATTATTTTATAATGTATTTATGAAGGGATTGGAAGCGTTGAAAGAGCACTTCAAGAACTCCAAGTTCCCATACGAGATGGAGGAGTACCTGCCAGCGGTGTTTTCACCGCCTCGAGATGGGAAGCAATTGACGGAGCCACTTAAAATGTTGTGATTGGTTGGCCACATATATATTATTATATAGGTGGAATAGGCCTGGTCTGTAGGAAAAGGCCTGTTCATGTCTGATGATACTCAAGTAATCAAGTGTAAGGTGATGTAATGAGTCCATTTGTGAATATTCATTTACCACGGCAATTATGCTCATGCTCTTGTTCCCATGTTGATAATTTTTTCTTTATTTGCAATCCTTGAATGAAATGATTTTGTAGTTTTTTTTTTATCAACTTTATGTCTCTCACAGTTACAGGTCGCACTTCAAGATGTAATCAACTTTCAAATTTTGATGGATCATTTATCACGTCGCAGTCGCTAACGTAGAATCCAAGTTATAGGTGCCATATTCTTTTTTTCTTTTCTGCGTTTTCTGTTTTAATTTCAGCATAATTTATCGGTAGTTTTCTTTGCAAGCCGGTCCAAATAGGTTAATTAATTTTAAAATCATAGTATTTATATAGACGAACTGCCCATAAAATTAATTTTATTCTTACGATAACAAATTAGATTAAAAAATAGAAAAAAATATATTAATTTTGTAAGTTTTTAATATATTTGATTTGATTTTTTATTTTTTAACTTCAGTCTATTTTTATTTTTAACTTAAATATATTTAATCTCGTTTTATATTTAATTTTTTAATTTTTAATCTATTTTATTTTTTATTTAAATTATAGAATTTAATATCATGGATTTGCCTTTAGGATTATATAAATGAATTTACATCACCCATTTCAAGGAAAGAGAACGGTCACTAACTCACTATAAAAGAAATGATTATTTTAATTGATAACAAAGGATATAAATAAATGACCAAATTATTTTTGTGACATTATCATTAAAACATGAGAGGTTTCATTCAAGTTGGTGCTTACACTTTTTTTCATCCAAACTCAGCTCTATAAATGTAATTAAAATAATTTCATTTACTTTTATGATATATAAATGCACCTCAAATGGTCGGGGACTCGGGGTAGACATAGGTATTTAGTTTTGTGAAATACAACTTTTATGTTGCAGGAAAAACACAATTTTCTCCAGTTTATTTATGGAAAAAGGTCAGTCTTTTCTTTTCTTTTTTTAATTATAACAGTAATTTTATGAGTGGAAGTGAAAAAGAAAAATATTTTCAATGTTATGCGAGTACCAAGCACTCGAATACAACCTTTATAAAATATGATAAAAAAATAAGAAAAAATATTTATCCAGTCACGGGAGATAAAGACATCTCAAGTGAACTCAAAACGACGTTGTTTTGAAATTATAAGATTAAAAAATTATAACGATAAAGACTATTATAATCCTGCAATATATTAGAATTACAAAAAAAAAACCTTGATTTCCGCTCCAAAACGACATCGTTTTGGATTCATCAGAGATAATTTATCTTCATTGACTGAAAAAATACTTTATCCAAATAAATAATATATTTACACCACCCTACTTTATAGTTATTTTCTCATACATCCCCATGTATCCCTTTTTAATAAGGGACTATGTACTCCCGATGCAAAAAAAAAAAAATTGTGATCGTGAAAAAGACATACAACAAAATAAATTTTTAAAGCAAGCATGAAGTAGTGCACATTATTTGGGCTCTTGTTAATTTTACAGAACAAGTAAATATTATATATTCTTTTAGGAGCAAAAACAAAAAACAAAACAAAATTTAACCCCCTCATTTACCTCAAACCATGATGTTACAACACATCTGGCAAAATCAGCTGTGCAAGATTAAAATTTGTGTTTTTCTCTTTAATAACGTGACACTAACATGTTCTCGCATAATGCACAACTCCCAATTCACGGGAGAATTGTTATCATCGATATTGATGAATAAAAGAGAGAGAAAAAAAGAGAAAGAAAAATAAATTTTAATGATGAGAGTTATAAAAGTCATGTAAGAAACATATTACCCATAAAAAAATTTGAAATAAAAAAAACATTTCATGCCACCCATGAAACTGATAATTTTAAACAGTGTCTGTCTGGTTTAATTCATGGAAAGCAAACCCATAGTTATTTTGGGGGAGGAATAAATCCCTGGTCTCAAGCATAACAGGTTTTCCACATTACTAGCACAGCATGTATCAAGTTCATCCGAAGTGGCCCTCATTCTCCTAATTGATTTTTATGATTCAAGGTCCTAGCTAGGGAAGTACAATAATAAGAAAAGAACGTATTTCATATACCCCAAGTGATATACTAAACTTGGTGGAGCATATAAAGAGAGAGAGAAAGGCAAAAGAATCTAAACCAGAAGTTGGAAACTTGTTTAATCCATAACCTAGAAGTTGGAAACTTGCGTATTTGAGTGTTTCCCTTCACCATTCGAGGAGAGCCAATCCTTTTTGCCCTTCAAAGTATTAACACGCACATGCACTACAGACATGGCTATCCACCACATTCCACCCTTGCATTTGGCAATTGCCATATACAAGACAACAAGCTAGAGAGTAGTATCACCTCTGCCACTGAAATCTTTCACTGGTGGAGGGAAAGAGTGAAAGATTCTGTGGCAAAAATCTAATTGTATGTATCCAGAGAGTTCAACCTAAAAACTTATGTTCACTTGTTCCAAACTTGGAAGACCTATTATAACAAATATGTGATTCCATCCAATATGTAAAAACCACATAATGCTTACCGTATACATAATTAAAATTTAGTAACCACACCATATCATTAACCATCAAAAGAAAAGCAGATTAATGCTCATGACTAAAATATTTTTTGGTCCAATAAAATTGTAACACATGGTCTGCATAGTTGAATTAAATCTTATCAGTTGAATGTACTCCTCATTGTACTTAAGAATCCCGCCAACCCCTAAAATGATATAACAGAATAACAGACAGCAGGGTGGCTGCTGTACTAAAGATAATAGATGCAATGCAAATAATTTATACTGCATTAAGACAAATGCTAAAAAAAATACTTAAACTAAAGACATATTCATCATTAATAATCAAAAGTTATAGATTGAACACACAATCATCGTTAATGTAAGGCAAAACTAACAAGTAACAAAAAAAGTCATCAACTTTTAACGTACATTCATCTGTAAAAAGTACTGAGATAATAATAGTGATTGGGAGTTGGGAGTTGGGACAATTACATCAAGACACACAATCTGTGAACAGGGCAGAGGAAGAACAGAACATGCCCACGAAGTGAAAACAGTGGAAATTTGGAACAGGACCGTGAACCGAACTGGTGAAATTGGCTGGAGAATGCATGGCTGGCCAGGAGACAGAAAACAATGCACTGAAGAATGAGGGAGATGGGCAACTGGGTATTGTTGAAGGTAAAGTATTTCTAACTGTAAAATGGTTCTAAAGGAGAAGAGGACGTGAAATCATAAAAGTAACCCTAAAAAATGACTTACTGATCAAAGAAAGGAGGGGACTGGATTGGATTTTTGCAGCTTATTGGTATAGCGGTGCTATCCTCAGCAATTCAGGCAATCCACACAACAAACAGATGTAATGCTATTAGTTCCCTAAAGTGGCCAGCAGCTGTGAAACTCCGCCACAGCACAATTGCTGTGCTATATGTCACTATTGACTACTATGTTTAGAATTTCTCCTATTCTGGAAAGCTAAAGACAACAACAAGAAGATTACTTATACTTTCTACAAGCACTTACCTATAATTTCCATTACGTCAACAACTTAGCATGAACTAAGCATGTAAATCATTACGTTGTCACAAGCCTATTCCAGCTAGTTTTGCCCATTCTAGGTATTTCATCAATTTAATGTCAAGAATTTCTGAAGGAAATTTAGGAAAAAAAAAAAAAGAGACGGAAAAAAGGCTGTAGTAATTGGTTTGACAGTTTGATACCGATTCTCCACTCAACAATTTAATTTTGAGCAGGCCTAACTGTCGTATTAGAATTATGTATCAGAATAAAGCACAAAAAATGAGGGAAGTGCACGGCAAGGATGTATTCAGGAGAAGCAGCAGCAGCAAATGAGTTATGCACCACAGCCAAATCAACGAACAAGAGAATGTAGAGACTTATATTCCAGCTACTTCAATACATGATCAGCTACCAAGTTGAATTCAAAATCTCATACTGACAACGAAAAATAAAGGATCAGGGATGACTAAAACATACCATCTAAACACTTAAGATATGTTTCATTACCTGAGTCAAGAGTCAATATGCAGACAAAAATGAACAAAGCAATGTATTCCCATAATTACTCACATGTAGCATTTTATGAAACAAGTCCATGCGTAAAGAACAACGTTAAATATCCACCCAATCAAATTCGAAGAGCTCCTGATTAACAAATTTTATTTGAGCAAATAACACTGCATTGGACAAACAACAGCAAGGGAAATTAGAAAAAAGTAAAGGGTATCAAAATTACAGCATTTTTCAATTCAAGCAATAGAATCCTTCCGATTGGCCTGCTGCCGCAATAACTCTTCTCTGACCCTTCTGATCTCCTCTTCCTTCTCCATCCTCTCATGCTGCAACAGATTATGATACAGAGAAAGAAGGTCAAAAAAGTCAAAATAATTAGCGTTCATACTTAGGGTTCCACTAGTCGACGAGCTTTGCCGCACGGAAATATCGCCGCGTATCATGAAACATTATAAGAAACGCAAGCATATTGACACAGCTAGATCAAATAATATGAAACGACGCTGAAAGGTTCAATCCAATTAGGTAATCAAAATATAATAAGTTAGATGATATCTAGGTTATTTTTATTTGTTTTTCCTAAGAATGGAAGTGAAATTGGAGAAGGATATGTGGAAATTGAGAGAAAAGGAAGAATGAAAGTTGAACAAGAAATGAAGAGGAAAGAACCTTTTCGTCCTGACGGAGAGCGATCCAGACATGGATCTTGTCCATGGATTGCCAGAACACGAAAGCTCCAAGCGTCATCGCGAAGTACGTCGCAACTCTCACCATTTTCTTATCCTCCTTCCTTCCTTCTTCTTTCGATTTGATTCAACTTCCTCTTCCCCTGTAATCAACTTCTACTATCAGCTCTTCCGCTTCTGCTTATGCTTCTGCCGATAAGATGGAACTGGAACGCGATGCGTAATTTTCTTGGGCTGGAATTTGCTGCGTGGCCCAACTTCAACACGAAAGCACGTTTCATAGTGCAAACCAAACCAAGACCAAAAAATGTTAATAATCACAAATGGTTAAATTCGGCCCATTATGAAAACAAAAAATAACAAAGGTTTATGAAATATGTTTCGTGACATACGAAAATCTGTACAATATTAAAACAAAAAATAATTACTTTAAAATATATATTAGTAAGTATTCTGCGAATTACACAGATTTTTGAAACTTATTTCTTGTGGGGTGAGAAACTCTGTACTCATAAGTATTTGAGAATATATTATAAATACAACTTAGTTTTTAATTTTTAGAGTAGTCTCATGTGTGGACATATGTGACCCGATTTGCTTAACATTAAAATAGAAAGTCCGCTTTTCTTCTTATTATAAATACAAGAGTAAATACCATTTTTAGTCCTCAGCAAATTTAACGATACATGTTTTAGTCCCTAGCAAATAAAAATGCCTATTATAGTTCCTAAAAAATTCAAAATGGACCTATTTAGTAGAAATCGTGGTCCTTCACAAATTTAAAAAAAAAATTATATTAGTTTCTAAAAAAACTAAAATGGATTCATTTTAAATTTTTTAAGAATCACGACAAACCTTTTTATTTACTAGGAACTAAACTAGCATTTCGACCAAAAAAAATGATATTTAGTCTAAATACTACTGCACAAAAAAAAACACGAAATACCTTGGGGAAGGAAATTTTCTAATATGGATAAAAAAAAAATTCTGCGTTTGTCTTTTCAAGTATTGATGTCATGTATGATGTAACTCCCGATACGATTGTTTCTCAAAAGGCGACCTCCCATTGGCGGCTAGTGTCACCAAAAAAACTGGCAAGAGCTTCGATAAATGAATACAGCTAGACTCGCAGGTGAAACCGTGAACAAGAAGAAGACCACAATAATCGTTTTTTATTTTATTTATAAAAATGACAATTGCGCAGTGCGAAGAGGCCAGGGTCTTTCGTCTCGACCGTATCTGCGTGACTGCATGTGTGCGAAGTGTAAAATATAGCAACTTGGTCTTTGGCAACGATACCGAAGCAAGTCAAGGGACGTGTATTCTACGGATACTACACAATTGTATTCAGTGAGTTTCAACAAAGGGCCGGCTTTTAATAATAATAATAATAATAATAATAAAGGTTCATTTTTAAAAAAAAATTATTTTAAAAAAATTATTTAATATTTATCGAAATGTTATTGTTTTGAAGCACAAATTATATTTATAATTTTAATTTATTTCAGCATTATAATATTTTAATTTTTTAATAAAAAAAATTCAAAACTATGTTGTTTTAATGAAAATTATATAAAAAAATTTAAAATAACTTTATAAATTTTATTCCCTAATAATAATAATAATAATCCACATTTGTCTGATGTGGAATTTTTTGGTAAGCGAATATTTATCATAATAACTGTATTGAAGATTAAACTTTGTTGAAACTATAAAATTTGTTAAAAATAAATTAATCTTTAAATAAATTTCTGTACATATGAATTATTATATAGAATATTGAAAAAATAATAGGAATGAATAAAAAATATCTCTTACATGAGGTGATGGACTATATGCATGGAATTATCCAAAAAAGGGAAAAGTTTCCAAGCAATGAAAAGGAGCAAGCTTATTGGTCCCCCCACCTGTCAAGTTTCTTGGATTTTGTCATTAATGATGAGGCACCATGATAAATGCTCCCTCTCGCTGTCTCTAGTCTACAAATTCAATGAAAAAAGATGCCATCGTCCGTCCTATAATAACCTCGAACACATCGTAATTCGTAACCTCATATTGCCCTTTTCTACCTCTCCACTTTCCTTTCCCCCCTCCCTTCATCTTAATGTGCTCGTAAGTCGTAACCAATTGCTATCTACCTAATCTAATAATCAGTGTATCAGGTCTTGAACTGCAGCATGCGGATCCACTTGTGTCTAGACACATGCTCCTCCGCCAACTGCGCCAACGCCACCCACCAGTCAACCGTCTCACTCCCCAAGCTACGGCCACATAAACAACAACAACAACAACATGCATCAGATTCAAGTAGCTCCTCCACCGGATCCGATGCACTCACTTCCACAACCTCTCAGGACAGCACTGCCTCCACCACCACCACTCTCTACAGCGACCTCTCCATACAGACCCTCCCATCCCTTCCTTCTCTCCAAAAACTCTCTCCACAAACCCTAAGTTTCTCTGTCTCCCACCATTGCCTCATCTCCCTCACACCTCACCCCTCTCTCCCTGTAACCTCCCTCGCCGTTCAAGATAACCTCCTCTACGCCGCAACCGGCCACGAAATCAACGTCTACGATCGTCACACATGCACCAACCTCTATAGCTTCAATGCCCAAGGCACGTCCTCTGGATCCATCAAGGATATTACCTTCTGCAAAGGCATGATCTTCACCACCCACCAAGACTGCAAGATCCGCGTGTGGCAGCGCCACTCACAACACAACCACAACCACAAGAACCACCGCATGTTAACCACTCTTCCCACCGTCAACGACCGTCTACGCCGTTTTCTCCTACCCAAAAACTATGTCACCGTGCGTCGCCACGAGAAGCGGCTCTGGATTGAGCACGCCGATGCTGTCACGGGCCTCGCCGTTACCAACGGCGTTATATATTCCGTTTCGTGGGACAAGACTCTCAAGATATGGCGGGTGTCTGATCTTCGTTGCGTGGAGTCCGTGAAGGCTCACGAGGACGCCGTCAACGCGGTTGCAGTATCCAATGATGGTACCGTGTACACTGGATCCGCAGACAGGCGAATACTGGTTTGGGCGAAACCCGTTGGGGAGAAACGGCACGTTCTGGTGGCGACGTTGGAGAAGCACAAGTCCGCGGTGAATGCGCTGGCCTTAAACGACGACGGTTCGGTGCTGTTTTCGGGTGCGTGCGATCGTTCCATATTGGTATGGGAGAGGGAGGACAGTGCGAATCATATGGTGGTGACTGGGGCTCTGAGGGGGCACCAGAATGCGATACTGTGTTTGATCAACGTATCTGATTTGCTTCTGAGTGGCTCGGCTGATCGGACGGTCAGGATTTGGAAGCGGGGTTATGATGGAATGTTCTGTTGCCTTGCTGTTCTCGCCGGTCACCGAAAACCGGTGAAGTCCTTGGCGGCAATTCCAGAGTCTGATCAAACTTCCTCAAACGGTGCCGTTTCGATTTTCAGTGGTTCCCTTGACGGTGAGATTAAGGTTTGGCAGGTTTCTATCACGAGTCAGTCCACACATGATCGATAATTGAATGCCTAAGAAAAGGAATAAATTCAAAGAAAAGGGGAAAATGGAACATAAAAAGTACTTGGTAAGAAAATATGTATATGGGGATATCTCTGTCTTAGATTTTAGTGATCTTGGCAAGGGTTCTCAAATCACAATCCAACTTTATTATGAAATTTGGGAAGTGATTTGAGAGATTAATATTGAAAAATGATAAATAATATTAACCTGATATTATTAAAATAAGTCATGGATGGATAAAAAAAATTGTAGGGTTATCCATATTAGACATTTGCAATATAAAAGCTTGCTTAACAAAGTAGCATTGGCTGTTTAACATTTATATTTTCGCCTTATCCATTTGTTCTGGGCGATTCTTAAATTATATACATTTTGAATATCTTAGAGCTTGAAAATTTACCCACACTAAGGGGCGTTTAGTACAGAAGAAAAAAAATTTGTTCAAAAAACCCGATTTTCAGAAATATAATTTTTACGTTCAATATATGATAATATTCAAAAATTAAAATTTTAAAAAATTCAATTTTCCGATAATCCGAAAAAATGTCGCATAACAAACGCCCCCTAAGAGCCCCAATTATGTGGCATCCTAAGTGAAAATCATTTTTTTCTCTTTGTAGTGGTTTTCACTTCTCACTCTCAAGTCTCAATATTTGAAATTTTCTCTCTCAAATATTTGTGCGTTATTCTATTACTCATCCCTCAAAAGTTAAGCATTAGCTTCTGCGCCATCGCTGCGCATGCGCTAACCAGATTCGCGACAAGGCTCCACAAATCCACCTTAATTATTTGTATGCCGTCAATAATTTATCAAAATTGTTTTCTTCTCACTTTTGGTCCACTTGATCCCGATCAACGGGGGACTTACATTCCTATGTCTGCAATTGCAGACATTAATATTTTTTATTTATTTTTTTGTGGTTGAAACTGATGATTTCAGTGGTTGACATTTGATGATTTATAGTGCCAATGTCTATATATGATTTATGTTAAGTTGAAGGTTTTTTTAATTTTTTTGTTTTTTAATGCCTTTAAAATTTCTATTAAAAAAAAAATTTGGGACGCAGCCCCAAACCCACCATTAAATATGCACACACAAATACAATTTTCTGGGTCCGCCAGTGATCACGATATTTTGTAATCTAGTCGCTATGATCTGTATAACAATTATTTCATGTGGTATTAGCGGTTACTACAGCCGTTCTTACCATTTTTGCTTACTCGAGCTAAAACATTCTTGACTATATATGACACTAATTCACTTTATTTAATATTCATTTTTTTAATTAATCATATAGGAAAAATATTTGTCCTTTTAAAAGAGATATAGTTATGTCATTTTAAGAGAGAGAAAGACACAATCTAGAATTTTTTATTTAAAATTAAAATTAAAAAAAAAAATCACAGACTTTTTCTCCTATAATTTTTATTGTTTGTGCCTTTTTCTTACTTGAAATGACATAACTTCATGTCATTTAAAAAGACAAATATTAAACCCTAATCATATATATCATCTTTATAATTCTAAATTTTGTCTTTTAATTTATATCTTTTAAAATTTTCCAAAATTAATTATACATAAATCTCTTATAGTTTTTTTATTTCTAGACCACTTATGTAACCCAATAACCAACTAGCATAACGTCCCCAACTAATGCTCTATCGGGAGTGGATCTTCTCGTATGTTAATTAACATGACCATATCATGTCGAGGAATCATAATCATAAAAATGTGGATCAATGGAGATAGAGGAAGAAAAAGAAAATATATGTGGATAGATAGTTACAAAATCATCATCGTTGATTTTCCTTTATATGGTTCAGATTCCTCCACATGACATGGTCATGTTAATTAAAACATTAGAGGATCCATTTCTTACTCTACCAACATTTTAGTGAGCGCTTAGTGTCTCGTTCCATCACGTGACACTCCTCTATGCCTTCTTATCATGGCAAAGTATCCATCGTGAGCTTCCCCTCACTACAAGAAAATAGGTTTTCAGATGCAGTTATATTTGTATTTTGAGGCAGTTCAAACCACCTCTAAATGCTTGGTTCGGCGGTTCATAAATCGTCTCGTTTAGCACCGTCGCGAGGCAAAATACGACATTTTTCACAAACCGCTAGAATAATCACCTCTACATGACATTCTGAGGCGGTTATTGTAACCGTCTCGAAAATATATTCTAAGGCGGTTATTTTAACCGCCTCCATTATCGCCTCCAAAAGATAATCTGAGGAGGTTAAAATAATCGCCTCCATTACCGCATCCAAAAGACAATCTCACACAATTATATCAACTGCCTCCAAATAACGTGTAACCGCCTCCAAATAGTTAATATTATATAAATTTTAAATTTTAATATTAAAATTGTTATTTTTAAAAGTTAATATAATTTTTATTTTTAAAATTTTATTTTTAATATAATTTACGTTTGTGATTAGTTAATACAATTTTTTTAAATTTTTTTTTAAAGTTAATATAATTTTTATTAGTTGAATATAAATAACTTATTGAATTTTGTATATGTGTGTGTTAATGTGGGTTGTTATAGAGAAGGGAATGGAAAAGGAGGAACAAGTGTCATCCAATGTGGGACTTCAAAGAGAAAGTGAGATGGTTTTTTTCAATATGCAACAGTCATCTTTGAAAATTTATATATAACACCAGATAATTCAACTTAAAATCTGAACGATCAGATTAAAGTATTATAAGAGAAGAACACATTAACTAAATTTGAGGACGATCCAACGGCTAAACAAAGAGATTTCTATCTTTGAAACTCACTATCCTATAGATCATGAACCGTCTCTAAATATGCTTTGAAGGCGGTTATTTTAACTAGCTTTAATGTATATTTTGAGGCGGTTCATATGAAATCGCCTCCAAAAGTCTATTAGAGGTGGTTAAAATAACTGCCCCCATTTCTATTCAGAGACGGTTATATTAAAACAGCCTCTAATTGTTATATTTAGAGGCGATTATATCTCAACCGCGTCTAAATGGTCAATGGGGCGGTTATTTTAACCGCGTCTAATATACATTCAGAGGTGGTTATGGTTTAATCGCCTCTAAAAGTAGCAATTAGAGGCAATTAATGTAATCGTCTTTGAATGGTAAATAGAGGCGATTATTCTAGTACACATTTGGAGGGGATTTCACATCAACCACCTCAAATCAATTAAACCGCCAAAAATACCGCCTCTATGTATCAATTGGAGGTGTTTTAAGTGAAATCGTCTCAGTTAAGCAGCCTCGAAATACCAGTTTTCTAGTAGTGCCTGCCTATCAGCTATACGAGAACATCTTCAGGACTATCATGGTACTGAGCACAGGTACTTTAAAATGAAATTATAAATTATGTATTACGTGAAATACACAGTTATAATTTCAAAGTTTTTTTTTTCTCTCTCTCTCTCTTTAGAAAACATGTAAACTGATGTGTTATGCTTCTACTAGTGTGATATACATATGACGATAGTATATTAGATTTTTTCGGTTATAACCTATCCAACCTTCATTCACCGTATTAGAAAAGGCAAAAGTATTTCTGCAGTTGTGACGAAAATACTTTGTAAAATTATTAAGATACGACGTCGGATCCTGATATTTTTTTAAAAAAAATTAGTGGGTCTCATTTTTTGTCTCTGAGGCACATACTAATTTCCTACCGCTGCTACAGAAAGGTAATGCCCATTAGAAAATATTCAAAATTCCATCCCAACTTCTGCGACTTTTTCTTCTATTTAATGTGATACATTTTTTCACTGATTCAAAAATCAAATAATTTGTCACAATAATCCGCTCAAATGCACATGAAATGTGCACATTTAAGTCCTGTATCACTTCATGACTTATACAAAAATTAACGCACGCTTGCTATGTATCCCACTCTACACGACGCGTGTCACCCATGCATGTTAAAGTCATACACACCCCTTATGCCAGCCATGCGTGTCTTATAAGGTGCGTGCTGGCTTTTGCACATTGGGTGATGCACGATTTGAACATACACATCCATATGCGTCTCACAATATTATTTTAACAAATTGTTTGGCTTTCAAATCATTTTGATTTTTTTTTTCCTTTTAGGATTATTAAGGCCAAAAGGCCTTATTTCTCTAAATATTTTGTACAGAACAATATTAATTTAAATGTTAAACATATTTTTAATTTTTTAATTCAATGCCCGTTGTCTTTGCATGTTTTTAATGATTCTAATATTTCTAATTACTTAAAAAATAAATTAATAAATGCTTATTGATTTTCATTTTCTAATATATCACATTAGACTATTTATTACTGTATTGAGCAAGCAGTCTAAAAATATGAGGGGAGGCAATTAAAACTAAGCAGAAAATTTGGGACCAAACAATCAAATCACTTACCATACTGAATAGTTGTAAAGAATACCCATTCATTTATTGAGGGCTAGAAGCCCAAAAGAACACATAACATAATATACGAACGGATTGGGTCATTAATTAAAAGCATTGACCCAATGTGCTTATTTATATCTGCTGACCAATTAGTTTCAGCTTGCGGGGCACATAAGTTGAGATTTGCCAACTTGCCTTTTGATGAAATCCTGGCCGTAATATCATACTTCAACGAGAGTGATGACTAATTATAAAAAGGAAAAAATGTGTGTAATTTTAAATGAGTCAAATGACACACCTTACATCCTTTCACTCTCACAAAGAGTTGAGACTTACATATTTAAAACTTTTCTCACTCATTCTCTCTCATGATTTATCTCTTTTTCTCACTTAAAATGACACAACTTTGTGTCCTTCAAAATAATACACATTTTTTTCTGATAGAAAATGGAGTATATTTTCAGTATTTCCATAATAGAGACTCATTTAAGTAGTAAAAGATGGGACTCCTATAACATTAATTATAAAAGAGAGATAGAATAAATAATGTAAGATGATTTTTTTTAAACAAAATTAATAAGTAATGTACTGAATATTCAGTACTACGTGATTATTAACAATATTTTTCAGAAAATGGAGCTGCAGCGATCCATTTTAATTTAATAGATCGAAGGGGATCAGTAGATTGCAACTTGGGTCTTGGGAAAATTAAAATAAGGGATATGGTACACAGTAGAAACAATATTATCAATTTTCCAATGTGTTGAATGACGGGAATGGTACAGCAGTGGCTTGCTCGGATAGACGTAATAAATATAATAAACTTGGAATTCTTTTTTAACGCTCATACTTCAATCTATCATTGACCTGTAGGCTATAGCCAGCCAATTAGCCACAACTTGCTTTTCTTTTTTATTCCTTGTTGTTTGAACCTCGCGAATTTAAATTATAAGGTGATGCAGGAAATGCCGAGCCTTTCGTTCCAGGTTGTATATGTGAAATCCTCTGATGTATACCCCGTATTACTCTTTTTTAAAAACCACATGTACGTCCATGGCGAGGTTAATTTAATTATCTCAAAAAGAGAATTTTGTGTATTCCCTGTATTACTAACAATTGTATGTAACAAGATAAAATAACGTCAATCAACAAAGCAATAATAATAGCTTTGAAATTTGCATTATCGAGAAAGAAAGGTTTGCAGTTTATTCAGAAGTATGTAGTTTCTTTGTACATTGATTTTCTTTCCCACAACAATATTATTTAACTTGAATCGGTTATTCATGCCATCGATATATCGAATTCACGAGTTATTGATTTAATTAGTTGATTATTGGTTTATCTGATTAAATTAAATTTATATTAAATTGTACAATAAATATTTTAAATGATGTAATTTAACTAATATTATGTTTTGGCTGGCCCACAACCATAGGCTTAATCAGTTGGATCCAGTTTAAGAGCTCACATCTAGAATATTCTAGAAAGCATTACATAGGATCCTCTCCTTCCCATGCATTGCTGCCTCTGCACACACACAGTGAGTTCAGCATGCTTAGCCTGAAAATGTTAGGTTGATTAGGTAACAGCTCTTAGAACTCTCTCTCCCATGCTTGAGAGGACTTCTCCCCTCCAATTACCCCATCACATATTAAAGCGAAATCTTATTCTCTACTCACTTCATATATAGTTACTTTGCACAAATAGATATGCATCTGAACCACTCACACACTCTTCCTAGATACATATATATGAGAAAGTTTAACAAAGCCTTGGTCTATACCATGAGTGCTGAAAGTACATCTAAATCAACATAATACACCCTCTAAGGTACATCTATGAACTACAGATTCATAACAAAATATAGCTCAGTGGTAATTGATAAATAGCTTTTATCACTAGTTGACCAAATTGATATTGGATCAATAATATATTCGATCCGTTTTTTCAACCGAACGGATTTTTTTACCCAACCGGTCGGCCAGTCCGGTCTTAACAATGGTCAATGGGTGTAATACATGAATGGTCAAAGGTCCTTGTATAAAAGCAAAAGTGTGAAATAATAGGTAGCTGCGAAAAGTTTCACAAAACGTGACGTGGCATAAACGAATTCATATATTTAACATTCATACATAGATAAGCGTTCGGATTGGGATATATAATGTTGCGAGGCATAGTAATTTTGGTTTAAGAAGTAGGCCCGACAAGGCTATTTGATTTTTGTTTTTGGGGTTTAACTAACATACTTGCTTACGAAGCCCAGAAGACTTCTCTTTGGGTCTCTAAGCCCAAAATGCTTGTCTTATATTTTCTTTTAAAGCCCATATTGCTAGCCGTTTAGATTAGGTTTCTCTCTGTTTCTGTATAAAGCCAAATGCAGAGCCATCGTTTGGTCCCAGGAAGCTATAAACCCTAGCGCCGCGAGGTAGAGGATTTATCTGAAATTCTGAATCAAAGGTTGTTGGAAATTTCAAGTATGTTTTTTCCTGTAACCTCTTTTACTCGTTTCTCTTTTCTCGAACTAAATTATTTGCAAATGTCGCTTTCGATAGGCGTTGCATTCTTCGTTTGCTATGAGTGCCGAAGGATGTGTCAACGAAAGCGTATAACTAGTTCTCAATATCGACCTGTCTGAATTAAAACAGCTACGTATTATTACCGTCGTAGTCTGTTTAATGGTCGTGTTGTGCCATTTCTTTCATATGATTATGTTTTTTGGTTAGTTGCTTCTTACTGGTGAACTCTCCCTTTTTGTAGTGGGGATGTTCATGTTTCCGAAGCATAAATAAGAATAACCAGTTTTAAACAGCGTGGTGTAATCATCTTTATTCTACACTATGCTACCTGTCTACTGGTAAATTTCCCCGTTAATACGCAATTTTAGTTTCTCATCATGAAAGAATGTTTTCGTTTGAAATTTTGTTTGGTTGAATTTTAATGAACACATTTCTTGAAATTCAGAAACAGAAATTGGATTTGAGTAATTATAATGTAAACTTTATCCTCTTATTGTGTGTTAGGTATATGAATGTAATGTGTCGTTGAAGAGGTGAAAAAAGTTGTTGATATGGAACAACAGAATGTACCATCCATTTCCAATGCAAGACCAAATCCACCATTCATTTCCAATGCAAGACCAAATCCAACCCAGAAAAAGAAGCTTCCAACGCCGAAAGAGTTGGTATCCCACTATGAATCTCAAGGGATGGATTCGCAAGAAGCCTCCATTAAGGTCATAGAGGATCTACAGAAGGCGCTGGTTGGAGTTATCTCCTCTGGTAGAGGTAAAAAAGACAAGCTCTTGTCCGAATCTTCTAGGAAGATGGATGCTGTCAACAATAGAATAACCATTCTTGACATGAAGCTTGATTCGAAACCCGGGTACGCTGAGACTTTTGCAATTGGGCTTGCCTCTGGAGCTGCTCTCAGAGGGATTGGAGCAATCATGCCCCATATTCTTGCTCCTCTTGCTCAGATATGGAATTCTGTAACAACAGCCACCAAATCTTCTCCGCAATGATATTTTAATTTCTCACTATGTACCTTTTTTAGTTTGTAAAAAACAAAATGAAAAAAATGTGCTACAGTATTTGACGTTATAATTCCCTGCTTTTCAAATGGTACATGGAGAAACATAAAGAAAATTAGCACATAAGTTCAGCATAGTAGCCGTTACAGTCAATATGTCCGATTTAAGTGACTCGCACATTAAAAACCTCTATTACATTTTTAATTATCAAACTCACATAATCTTATTTATGATTTTATATAACCTTATTATGAAGGGGGTTCACTTGTTCAACGCTAGGTGCTCATTCACTCATTGCAGCAGCGATACATGAAGAACTTTTCCATCGGACGGCCACATTCAGCACATACCACCTTTTCTGGGATCCTGCCATTGATTCCTGGCAGTATCAAGCGGTTGCAGTGGTGTGGGGTTTGGATTCCTTGTAGATAATCATCTATTGCCGGCAAAAGGCCTTTATCTTTTGCCTTATCTTTCCACTGGTCATATTCATTTAGGCACCTCAGAAATGTGTCTCCCTTGCCCTCTACTATCTTATCTATCCCGTGACTGATCACAGCCCACCCTTGATCACTGTTGTCAAAGCTTAGGATTCTCATTATTTCATGCATTATCTGGTCATTCTCCACTGTCTTGCTCTGCTGTAATTTGGAAAGCCACATGCTCTCAAGCCTAACCCAGAAGAACCAAATTATGATAAGGTCAGGTAGTACGTTGCTCAAATTTTCTTCATGTATGGCCATGTTGATTTTTCGGACTTTCTCCCCTGGATTGCTTTTCCCTACATAAATAATCTCCAGTGGAACTTGTAGAGCTTTTGCCACGGAAGATGCTGTCATTGTAAATTTCCTTATCCACTCCATATCGTCCCCTCCATACAAGCATATGTATTTGCCTTTTGATACCTGAAACAAGCTTGTATAAGCGTATATATGCATATATAAAAGGAGAAAATAATACGAGGACTAACCCAATCAATGAGCGATGGATCAATTGCATCTGCTAATAGTCCAAGTCCCCAGGTTTCCCCCTTCCACAATTCTTCCTCCCTTGAGCTAGAGAAAGGATATGCCAAGCTTCCCCAAATCCACATCATGTATATTGCATTCAGGTTCATAACTATCCCTTGCGGATCCAACACTACAAGGATAGGCTTCGCGTTGAAATGCCACACCTCCTTAATGTACCTGATGGTTGCTGGATCCAAAAGAGAAGGGTCATAAAGTGAGGACCATGATATCATTGGTTGCAGCTTCTCGAACTTTTGTTTCACTTCATTCCATGGGGTTTCCTTGTCCACAATTGGTATCCAAACAAGTTCGTATTGACTCTCTAACCTGATTGAATCCTGACGTGACTCTAGATACATTTGTTCCAAAATCACAAGCTCTTGTTCAGAGACATGATGGAGGTCTGATATGTAGAGTAATACAATTTTCCTCCTCAACACGTCAATGCTAACCTGAAGACAAAAACGTTAAAGGTGGGAACAGGAACACCGTGTGTAAATAGATTAGCTTTTTTCCCGATTGAGTCATTTACCAAAAGTTTTGAATTTTGAGTTAACTTGAAAAATGATTGTAAGAACTAGTGAAACAAAAGGAAGATTCCATTATTGTCATTCCTAACAATTCTTCATTAAAGAAAAAACTGATGACGATATATGATCACATATATATTATGAATGAGAGGAAGAAAGAACGGATTCTGGGTTAACCCTTTGCTTGGTAGAACCATCAAACAGTGGCAACAGCTCATCATGGCTGCAAATCAAAGCTTTGAGAACCTTCAAGTTATCATGGTGGGGTGTCTCAAAAAGGAACCGAAGTGTTTGAAATGCTTCTCTCTGTTTGTTGTCATCTGCATCATAACATGATGTTCCCAGGCATAGAGATTAGAGATACTTTACACGAAGAAAAGCCATAAAATGCTTCTTCCCCATAATCTGCGTCATTATTAATGTCCATGAACCATACTGCACACACACACGCACCATGTGGAATTACCGAGTAATTAGATTGACCTACCCATATGCTGACGACAAAGGGTGAGTTGCCTTAGAAGGTGGATATTTATGTTGTCGAGCTTATGGGCCAAACTCGAAAGCTCCCAAGTCTCTATTGTTGATGCCATATATCTAATAAAATAAAACCAACCCCAGAAAGTTAGTCATAATAATAATAATAAAGACAAGTTTAATTCAGAGTTTGGTTACCAAATCAGCAACATTAAAAAAGAAAGAAATTAAGATTTTTTTTGGTACAAAAAAAAGAGATGAAGTTGTGATGACTCTAATGAGTTATGAACAACGAGGCATACCCTTGACCGAGGCCAATTATGCCTAAAATCTGCGATGCAGAGGCCACAATACTCCGAATGGTCCAATAGACAGCACTAGGAATAAGAGAGGAGGCAGTCAACATCTCTGGTGCATTAGGGTCAATGTACTGAGAGGGAAGCTCATGGAACTCGACAATGCAATTGGTTACACCCAACATGGCATTGAGAAGGTTGTTGATTGTTTCAAACTTGGGTACCAAATCATCCAATTGTTCAAGTGTTTCATGAATGTGCTTCAACTTTGCTACTGATTTAGCAAGACGGTTGGTGGCATAAAGCTGAGCCACCAGCCAAAACTCCCCGTAAGTTAACTGCAAATGCTGCTAACGCTATTACCACCTTGGCATCCCATGAATAGCTTGAGAGCATTCCCAATATTCCCATGGTTGTGGCATGGGCGTCTCCACCACCCAAACACTTGCAAGATATCTGACATAAGCATGAAAACATTAACAAGTTAGACAGACCCCTGCAAACTAAGAGTTCAAAAAGTGCGTCAACATTTTTTTGGGGGTGTGTGTGTTATATATATATATATATATATATAAAATTAAGGGTTTTCTTTTTGTACTTTAACATTAAAAAAAAAAAAATTCTACGCCTCACTTTTTAAAGCAAAGAAAACAAAAACTAAGCCACTCAAAACTAATCTCTATAACGTTACATAATTATTTTTCCTACACATAACTCTTATAAAACTCTATAATTAAAGGGATCTATTCATCTCATTTTTCCTAATTATCTCATGCGACAAAGACAAAATAACGGGGTTTACCATTTTTAAAAATATAAAATAAAAGTAAAAATAATAGACCCTACTACTTTATCTGTTACATGAAATAATGATCTCACGCATCATAAGATAATAATTATTTTCCATAAATAAAACCTCGCAGGAAATTTTGTTAATCGTGTGGTACGAAATATCTAGCATCTCGGTTAAGTCAGATTGGTGGATACTGTCCTGTACGGTGCCAAATTGCACTTGCTTTCCCTGTGTAAATTTTCAAAACAAGGTAAATTAAGAATCAAAATGCAAAATGCTACTAAGTGAAAAGAATACGATAAACAATTAATAATAAGTCTTATACTCAATTTTTAATAATATATATATATATATATATATATATATATATATATATATATATATATATATATGTGTGTGGAGAGATAACACACAGATATACCTGAACAATGCTTGGGATAAGAGAGGCAGCACGGTGCAAAATGTCTTCAACGACATTAAGAAGAGGTCTAACGTCAATGTGTCCATCAACAGGAGCATGAGTGGCACGAATATGTTTGGTCATTGTAGTGTCATCTAATACAGAAAACATATGGCGGATAGCCCTAGACTGCATCTTCTGGGGTACGATTGCCATTTTCTTTAACGGAATTCAAGATACGGCTGCAAGAAAGTATGAGTTAATATCGATATTGTTTAGAAGCACTGGTTTACCAATTTGGTTTGGTTAGTGCTAGCTAGTTCTTGGCCCAATGACAATGGTCTCATATATATATATATAGCTGTAGATACCAAATTCTGATGAATTTCTACCTTGCTTGTGTTTGGGTTAAAACCAAACCATATAAAGTAACAAAGGAGAATTTGGAATGTTGGATAACTTTATACCTTTCATCAGTGATAGCTTTCTTTTCGTTAGTAGTAAATTTTTCACACGAGTACTGATGTAAACTTTTATGCTACTTAATAATAACTTACTATTTTCCTATTTTAATAACTCATTACTCCATGTTAATGTTGTTTAATCACACTTATAAACTAATATGATGCAAAAATTATTAAAATACGAATCTTAAAGTTAAGAACTATTACAAGAAAGGTATAAAATTTACACAAACTATGACGTGAAATAAAGAATCACTACTATCCTGTAGAAAGTGTTGCAAGGAATATGTTACAACTGTTGCATTTACTTTACAAATATGTTGACTCTTGTTGACAGATAACAGTAAGGAATTTAATTAGCGGATTCAAAATGTAATTCAATATGATGTTATATGAGAGTTTGTAACGAGTTTTTTTTAGAATAAACTATGCGCAATTGATGTTGTAAAAATCGAATTTTTATGTAGAAATGGAAGAAGTGGTAGAAACGTGAATCATAAACATAAAGTTTTTACTACTTAAGGTCAAGATACATATATATATATATATATATATATATATATATATATATATATGAGGTAAGACCCTTTGACACCGGTGTCAAATTTCAATTTTGACACCTCATCTGAGAGCCGTTAGATAAAAAAAGATAAACGACTCTGATTTATCAAGCATGTGATACCGTTGATATTTTTTGATATAACGGCTCTCAGATGAGGTGTCCAATTTGAAATTTGACACCGGTGTCAAAGGATCCTACCTCTCTCTCTCTCTCTCTCTCTCTCTCTCTCTATATATATATATATATATATATATATATATATATATATATATATATATATATATATATATATAAACATGTAAAAAATAATCACATAAGTCACTACTCAAAATTTAATAAATAACTTCATATGTAAAAGATATAAATCACATAACTATATAAGACATAAGTCTAAAAATACAAAGAGAAAACTGAGTTTAAAAAAAATGAAAAATAGGGTATTTTAAAAATTGAAAAATTGAAAAAATTGAATTTAAGTAAACACGCAAAAACTTATGTTTCTACGCGGTGTTTTTACCGATGATTATTTTTACTTGCGTTTTAACACGTTTTTATACTATGTTTCTACCATTTCTACGTTTTTAGACTAGTGTTTGACAACAATGTATGCAACTATCATATATAATTGTTTAGAAAGATAAATTCTCAAGTTGAGTCTCATAAGCTCAATGTAGTCAAAATTGAGTTTCTACGTAGAAACGGAAAGGGGTAGTAGAAACGTAATTTGTAGAAATGAAACGAAACGTAAAATTTTTATTACTTAAGGTCAAGATACAAAATTATATATATGCATATATAAAAAAATTCACATAAGTCACTACTCAAAATCTAATAAATAATTTCATATTTAAAATATATAAGTCACATAACTATATAAGATATAAGTCAAAAAACATTAAAAGAAAAAATTGAATAAAAAAAATGAAAAATAGGTTTTTTTTAAAATAAAAAAAAAATTGAGTTTAAGTAAAAATGGTAAAAAACGTAAAAACTTGCATTTCTACCGTTTTTACATTTCTACACGGTGTTTTTACCCGTTTCTACTAATGATTGTTTCTACATACGTTTTAACATGTTTTTACCCTACATTTCTACCGTTTCTACTTTTTTACATTTTTAAACTAGTTTTTGACAACAATGGATAAGGTAGTTTGCATGGACATGGGCACGAGTATCCACCCTAGTATAGATAATGGGGTAGACAATTTCTAAAAATTAGGATATGAATATGACTAGATAAATTATATAGAAATACAAAAATCAAAACAATAAGGCAATAAAATTGATAAATACAATTTTTATAATGTTCTAACTTCAATGTTTTAAACAAAACTCTATAAAGTACATCAAGTAAGCAGAAATATTCAAAGAAGGCCCATGATTTGAAGGGAATGAATTGTTTTTTGTTTCGTTTATTAGCAACTATATATATATATATATATATATATATATTTATTTATTTATGTTAGAAAGCAAACTACAAAATTTAGCAACAAAACTTGGTGTTTTTAATGAATTGACTTGCACTACTTACTCATCGAGTATTAGTATATAAGTGTTTGAAATCGAATATGTAACCACTAATTAGTATTAATGCGACCATCATTCAGGAATTCAAACAAGTTTTCGGTGCACCTAGTGTACTGAAGTTCAGTGCGACAGTAGTGTATTTTTATTAGAATATGTAGACAAATCTTGCATAAATTTCTAGGACTATAGGATTAGCCTACGTATCCTAATAAAAATACACTATCATCGTACTAATATCAGTGTGACGGGTGCACATTAAATTTTTTCTAAGAATCGCCATGTATCTTATATAACCCCACAATATCCACCTTAACTAAAGGGGATTCAGTGTTACCCATGAGTTTAAGCACTCTCAAATACATAACATAAAATATAGTTAATTTAAGTAAACAAATAATTAATTGCATCATTTTGTCTAACTGATTGAATCAGATTTGTTAATGAATTTATAATTAATAATATGTAAACAAGTTGTTAGCTCAACTTTAGGCTAAGAACAGGAAAAAGAAAACCTAATCTTCAGCACTAATCTGAAATTTAGTTGCACTGAGTGTGATTAATCTTTTTAATTTGCAAAGTCTACTCACTTGATTAGCATTGAGTTTTAATTTTTTTTCTTCCTTAGTTTTTTTGTTGAATGAATGATGGTTCAGTAATTAGCACTGTCAAGACTGATGGAGTTACTCCCGGAAATGAAGAAAAGATTCAGAAAAGACTATGAAAAACTCAACCAACTGCTACCGTTTATCAAACAATCTAGGGCCAATTACACTTATCTCCCTTGAGAGTTGACGTAATTACTCTTGATACTCCTCTTTCTTTTGGAATTAGTCTTATCTCTCTTAGATTAATGGTTTTTCTTCATCCCATCACCTTCTTGGTAAAGTACATTTATTTCCTTAGTTTATATAAGGTTTTTTACTTTATTTTTCCTTGTAAATAACAAAGGAAAATAAGAGTAATTCTCCAACAAGGTTACGGGTGTAATTATGTGTCAAACCGAACTTAATAAAATCTATTATATAGAATCCGGAAATGTATGGCTAACTTTTATGGATGAGGAGGGAGATGTGCTTTTTTTTCCCAGTAATCTGAAGAGTATCCTCCGGCCGTAATCGAAGACTAATCCTCAATCGAGTACTGTCGGACCCTTTCAGGAGCTGCTCTTCCAAATCCTTTTTTTTTTCATTCCCAGGCTCGAACTCGAGACCTCTGATTAAGCGACCCAGACTCCTTACCACCTGTGCCAAAGGAGTTTGGTGGGAGATGTGATTTTTAGACCAATAATAATATCTTTTATGCTTTTCCTTTAAGACAAGTAGGGTAGGGATTCCTCTATGTTACCTTTTAATACAAGAAGCAATGTTTACATGTGAACCTGATGTAGTAGGGTAGCAGTGACATGAAATCAGGAGGGAAATTTTCATTTAAACCTATATGCTACTAGAATTATTCCCTCAGACAAAACGTGGTTCATGCTAACTTCTTCCACCTCTACTCTCATTTCGTTTCTTTTTTTAGTCTATCTCATTTTCAGTCTCCATAACACTTGTTGATTTTGGTGTTGGGCAACATTTAGGCCCTTAAGCCGAAAATCCCAGCCAGCGTTAGTAAATTTTGTACATTAACAATTATAATATAATATGTATTGAATCCAACATATGCATATATATGATAACTACATCACTTTTCGTGCTATTAAAACATAGGCAGGGGATACCTTTGATGAGTACAACATGGTCAGAGAAATTTACAGTAATATTGTTAAGAACAATTTATGTCGGGCTCAATGGTTTTCAGAAAAGGGTCCAGTAAATTCAACATGGACAATGTTGAGGTTGTCGAGATTGATCTCCTTCCGCTGTCAATAAGTTTGAACCATTGGCTTCCAGGGTCACATGTATGATCTTGGCTCAAACATTTACAAGCGTTGGTCACAATGATGTTGTTGTCATCTACATCTAGACAAACATCAGAACCGTTGTTGACTTTAGACGAAAGATGCAACTTCGAATCTGAGATCATTTCCCATTTAGAATTAGGATCTGAGCATATTATGCTAAGTCTTGCAGGCATCCCTTCGTCCTCCGCTTGTATACAGTAGTAGGTACCCTTCATTGATAGTATCTTCTGGGGTGTGTATTTCCAGCCATCAGAAAAGGAGCAGGGTCCCAACGTCAATGGGTCTAGCAGTGACTTTCTTATGACACATAGACCCGTCAAAGGATGGAATATCAGTTTGTATGAATTGCCTTGTGTTATGCCTGGCCCTGTACAATGTCAAAGAAGAATAGAGCACTTGTTATCATTCATTTATTGGTAGAGACATTAGACAATTCATTTGCATTTATGTGGGATTATTTATAAATCATTTCTTTAGAGTTATATAGCCAAAATTTAATGAATGAAGTACAAAAAAGCCCTGATTATATAGTGGTTATATATGCTCATACCTCGAAATGGAAGTTGGAGGCCAGAGATCCTTTGTAAGAAAGTGGTATTTCTAACCTGGCTCCAGTCCCAATTGACAACCCCATAAAACTCTTCCATTCCTAGAACCCCTTGTCTAAAGTAGTAACTGCCAACAAGTGTCCACAAGGCCCAATCCAAGTCAAGTTCAGCTGCCACTGCAAAGAAGCAGTTAAGGTAACGATTGTCGTTCACATTGGTACCTCTCAAGTCCACCCCAAACTCACTAATAAACAATGGCCATCCTTGGTCCACCAAGAAGCCAGAAGTTCTCATCACATTGCCAGCCACTTGTCCACATACTTGGTTTGGGTTACCATTAACCCAAGCTTGACCATCAGTGAAAGCATACCAGTGTGCCTCAAATACTAGTTTCCCTTTGAACGTGAGGTTCACTGGTCGTTTCTGAACGAATGATAAATCTTTGTCAAAATTTAGGCCAGACAGAATGACAAGAACATCTGGATTTGCAGCATGAACCGCTTCTGCTCCTTTCACCATATACCTTCAATTCAAAACAACAACTTATCATCCACATAGGATTTTTCTTTTTCTTTTTCATTTTTTACTCACTGAAAACAAAAAACTATAAACGATAAAAAAAAAAACAAAAAAAAACTGAATGTATATATATATGAGATGTTAAAACAGTATTTTACTCTAACTTTGTCATACACATTATTCAACCCAAAATTACAATATTGATGTGATTTTTTTTTATAAAAAAAAATTAATATGATAAGGACATAGAAATAAGTTAGGAAATTTCATTTTGGTCAAACAATGGAGTTATGTGCTTATTTTTTATTTTATTTTTGGGTTCGTGGAGGAGTTGTAGTTAATATATACCTGTACCAATCGTTGACGTTCTGTTTGGGGCCTCGGAGTTCATTCCTCAAGCTCATACCCACCACATGACTCACTCCATTGAAAATAGTGGCCATCTTGGTGAGGCCCTGGATCCAAAGGTTCGGGTCGAAATATTGGTCTCCGAAAAACCCATTGCCATCGGTGTTACTGCAGCACCACCCTGGCTGGGTCAAGTGGTTGTCCAATATCACCATCACATCATTGTCCCCAAGGCTCTTCACCACTGCCTGATGTCATTAGAAAATTTTGCCCCACGCTTAGCCCAAAGTTAAAAGAAAATTTATAGAATACGCAAGGCAGTTGAGAATTGAGAGAGCGGTTCATACTCTTAAAATATGCATGATAATATATTCAACTTAAAAATACTTTATGGTAATTATATATGTGGCAACTTGTTACAAAGGAAATTAATTAGAGGGACTCAATTATAATTATAATACCATAAGTTAATCAATCGCCATCAGATAGGCATCATCATAATAATGAGTGATGAGATTAATAACTAATTATATAAGGATGATGTGGTCATTGGAATTAGTCAACGAATAGATAACAAATAATTTACCTGGAAAGCTTGGATAAGGGGAAGATCGATTATGGAAGGGTTGTTGGATTGGACACCAGCAATGGAATCAAGAAGGCCAAGGTTTTGAAAAGAGTGTCTGACGGTGAGAGAAGAAAGAGAGTCATTGGTGACAAGAAGAATAGGCCAAGTGAGCCTGACACAGTTGAAGCCCATCGACTTTATTCCTTTTGAAATCACATCCATGGGTTGCTTGCTGAGCCCTTCAGCCACCACCGCATCAAGATGAGACACCCAATTCACACACGCCAGCTTCACCCTTTTCCCATCTTGGCTCACTATCCAACGGGAATTCGTCTTGAGTGGAAGACCCGTCACAGCCACTTCTGGCTTGGCTTCGAGTATGGTTTCGGAGAGCACTGTTATTATTATTAGAACAGAGAGAAAATTGAGAACCAACGCGCACGACCACCTACCCATTTCGTGATTCTTTGGGGAAACACACGCTGATGAGTCTTTATATTCGGGGAAACACGAATTATGTGTAAGTATATATGTTGAGTGTTAAAGTTGATGTTTTTTTCAGTAATTGTTATTTTTCCATTTATTTTAAGGATATATCCATTTTGGTCGTCATCGTTAAACTTTTCGTTATATATAATATATGGGTTTTATGTTTATCATTTAACATAATATAACTTCATTTTCCTACACACACATTAAAGATGTGTGGTCCTCATATTTTTCTTTCTCTTTCATCATTCTACTTTCTCTCTCCCTTTTGATGTGAGAGTTGGAAACAACACTTATATTATGTTACATAACACTAATAAAACCCATAATATATTGATTTGAGAGCTGTATACAATTTTCTACTCTTTGCAGGTGTTACTTGGACTTTCTCTGCTCGTCTACTGTTCATATTTCCTGTTATCGCAATTCCCCTCCAACTTGGGCTTTTTGACTCTAGTAGTGTCATTTTCATAAGGTTTTATCGGAAAAATTTCTTGGTCAAACATATTACCTATATAATGCATAACGACGCGGTACTGTAGGAATCACTTTAGGACGTGACACTTTAGCAACCGCGTCCTTTGCAGTTGTACCTGACCACAGGAACGTGATACCCTGACAATCACGACTGGAACGTGATACCCTGGCAATCACGTCCTATTCCCAAGACGCGGTACACTCTCAGCCACATGTCAGTGGGTCCCATCCCAAAAAAAATTCAACAGGAAGCGATAGTGTATAAGCCGCGTTCCAGGTTACAAGTTAAGTCGGAGTCAAGCAGATATATATATATTTCACCTAAAATTTAGACATATTGATATATTCACGGTAAAAGAGTTCAAAAAATCCAATAAAAGCAACAAGTTATTTTCGAATAAAATGATTTTTATAGTTGCTAGCAATTTATTCTTTACTGGTTAGAAGACTAACTCTTAAACCAGAGAATAATTAATTTAGAAATTTACTAACAATAAAATTATAATTATTATAATTTTAAGGTGTTGGATGAGAGTCTTTATAATAGTTTATATTATTCACTTACACACTCACTTATACGAAAGCCCTTTGGGCTTGAAGTATGAATTTTGCATAGATTCTTTTTTTTTTTTTTACTTTAATATAAATCATTAAAAAAACTCTCACTCATCACATTAAAATTTTGGATTAAATTGTTTCTTTCACATATTGGAAATCGGAAAAGCAGACCAAACACGAAACAAGGGTATAAGATTGGGTACTATTGGATTTATTGGATGTTATGTACTCTTTTACAATGAATATATCAATATGCCTAAATTTTAGGTGAAACATATATATCTGCTTGACTCCGATTTGACTTGTAACCTGGAACGCGACTTATACACTACCGCTTCCTGTTGAATTCTTTTTGGGATGGGACCCACTGACATATGGCTGAGAGTGTACCGCGTCTTGGGAATAGGACGTGATTGCCAGGGTATCACGTTCCAGTCTTGATTGCCAGGGTATCACGTTCCTGTGGTCAGGAACAAATGCAAAGGACGCGGTTGCTAAAGTATCACGTCTTAAAGTGATTTCCACAATGCCGCGTCGTTATGCATTATATAAGTAATATGTTTGACCAAGAAATTATTCCGGTGAAACCTTATGAAAATGACACTACTACGATAAAAAAGCCTCCAACTTGTATTTGATGAAATCATGCGAAGATATTGTTATCAAATATTAAAAATAATATATATAAGGAGGATTCCATGTATATTTCAGTGTTTTGAAAACCAAACCGGTTCAGCCAGTATCAACGGTTTTTTAATTAAATCGGTTTTATATTATTTTGTGTAAAATGTTTATCAATTGCAAGTGCTGGAAATTAAACCTGTGACACATGATTTAATGCATAGAAGGCTTACTATTAAATCAACTCTAACCAATTAGTAATTTATTGGTTGAATCAATAATCCATTAACTCAATACCTCCAAAAATAAATCGATAACTTTGTTATAATAAGACGAGTCTATGTTAACTAATTTGCTTTACTTAAGAGAGTTGGTCTTATTTTTATTCATTTAACATGTGTTCAACCTCAAGTGGGAGTGGTCATATAATTATTTGATCATAATCAATTAACCACTTATTCATGATGAGATAAAAATATATAATTTTAAATGAGTAGTTGTGATCAAATAACATAATCACATGATTACTTTTCTATATGAAAAGATCTACTCCCACCTCAAGTCAATCTAGGCTATTATTGGAACAAAACAGTAAGTATCACAATCACTAAAACTTGTCGCATTTTCTAATTATACGAGAGTATGATAACCTTCCCTCCCATAAACTTTATATATATTATCTTATTAATTTTTGGTAAAATGTCCTTGGTTGCTTCTTCTTATTGTAAATATTTTTTTGGTAACTGCTGCTTCTTAATATTACTATGACGTGAAAGCAAACGATTGGTAAACAAAATAATGGTTTATTAACTTGTAAATTACGCCAGCACTCTATCATCGTGTTTTCCGTTAAAGAAACGAGTTTGGCTAAGATATAGAAACACCTACGTTTAGTATTGCATCAGCATCAGAAATGCTTTATGCATAGAACTGTAGAACGAACCGTGACTCCATCAAGTTTCCTAGTTTGAAGTTTAATAAACACTTGAACTTAAACGCGGTGCTAAGTAATTCTTCGGTATGTGATATCACGCAAACTTTGGCGCAATTTTTCCAGAAAATGCCAACTTAATTTGTATCCTATACTCCATAGTTTGCTTTGAGAGAAAGAGAAACAACCGTGGCCACCCTTCAGACTTGAATTGCGGCGAATACTGAAACGCTTGCAATGCAAGGTAATGAAATATACGTTTTTGTCCTTTTAAATGACACAACTTGTATCTTTTCACTCTCAGAAAGAGGTAGGACTCACACCTTTATATTTTTTTGTCAACTCTCTCTCCTCCTTTATCTATCTCTTTCTCTCACTTAAAATGACACAACTTTACATCCTTTAAAATGATACACACTTTTTCCATATATATGGAAAAAACTAGTCTTATGCCATATGAGATAGGTTTATTTTCCAATAGAGACATCGATCCTTGAGCTTTTTATTTTTTTATTTTTTTATTTTATAACTATGTGGGTCCCATCACATGATTGTGAGAGTGGTAGAAGATACTTATCTCCTATTGATAAAGATTAATAAAGCCCTATATATATATATATATATATGGCTATTGCTTCTACTACAACTGTGCTCGTTTTGTTGTTTTCCAGTTTTCCTCCTTCATACCCGTGTCTTTGCTTCTCTTTCTTCGTGATTAGTTTTTGTTGGTGTTTGAAATTTTTAAATATTAAAAATTATTTGATTTGAATTGATTTAGAAATTAATTTGCATTTCAAACTTATTATTAAGGATGATAATTTTATTGATTAACAAATTAAATTTCGGATCTGTAATACATTTAAGATAAACAAGTTATTTTATCCCATGTATTATGTATATATATTATTTCGAATCTTGTATAATACTTGAGTATTTAATTTATGAGTTTAATGTTTCTCATGTTATAGGATATAAATTTGTCTCCTACACACTTAAAAGTGTGTGAGACTCATGTAGGTCTATGTGAGGAGAAGATAAAGAAAAAGAAAACATGATCCCTATACAATTTTATATGTGTGTTAGAGATAAATTTATCTTCTACACTATTATAAACACTAAACTCTTAATTTATAGACAAATATCGACTAAATGTTTAAATTAATTTATTTCGGTATAACGAATACGATAACTATCATAAATTATAGAGAATTATCAATTGCTGCAAATTTTTTTAATCAATATTAGATGATAAATATGTGCTTCAATTTTTTCCTTAAAATTCTTACAGGGGCTTATTCTTCATTACCTTGTATATTTCAACCCATTGTATAATATTAATCATGGTCTAAAGCGTAATTATATATTCTGATTATATATTTATATTTATGCATTTGTCCTTCAAGATGCATGCTTCAAATGTAACGCCCGGCCGCTTCAAGAATCAATAACTATCTCCACATACTAACACGAGACTTTTCAGTGTGCTTTTTCCTCACTCGCACACTTGAAAAACTTCCCAAGAGGTCACCCATCCCAGAATTGCTCCAAGTCAAGCACGCTTAACTATGGAGTTCTTCCGTTCCGGGCTACCGAAAAGTAGATGCATCTTGTTAGTATATATAGTACCAATTAATTCTTATAAGCTATCCCAAACTGTGCAGTCTCATACCTACACAGTCTTTGGAATCCCTCTCTTTCGGGTGTCGATTCGATTCATTCATGCATGTAACCCCCCGCTGGATGTCAGGAGCCGCTCCTTGTCCGTGCCTCTTTGCACCGGCGATCACTCCCCGCCCTCGTCAGCGCTCGGGATGTTACATACCCACCAACTTCCGCCTGGTTCGTCCTCGAACCACACTGTACTGGATGAGAGGCCCTGCTCTGATACCACTTGTAACGCCCGGCCGCTTCAAGAATCAATGACTATCCCCACATACTAACACAAGACTTTTCAGTGTGCTTTTTCCTAACTCGCACACTTCCTAAAAAAACTTCCCAGGAGGTCACCTATCCCAGAATTGCTCCAAGTCAAACACGCTTAACTATGGAGTTCTTCCGTTCCAGGCTACCGAAAAGTAGATGCATCTTGTTAGTATATGTAGTACCAATTAATTCTTATAAGTTATCCCAAACTGTGCAGTCTCATACCTACACAGTCTTTGGAATCCCTCTCTTTCGGGTGTTGATTCGATTCATTCATGCATGTAACCCCCCGCTGGAAGCCTGTCAGGAGCCGCTCCTTGTCCGTGCCTCTTTGCACGGGTGATCACTCCCCGCCCTCGTCAGCGCTCGGGATGTTACATCAAACGTTCTGATGACAGGTGAGATTTTTGATGCACCGACACTTCAAAAACTTGACGTATCGTGTTCGATATTTTCTGACACTTCAAAACGCTTTACAGAGATTCAAAAAAAGATTCAAAGATTGTAAAGAACCTTGGGATACACCACCCCAAAAGCTAGCTCAAAGAGTGGGAGTGCCCAAGGCTTTATAAAGGCCACATTAGTTGCACATACAACCAATGTGGAACTATATATCTCAACACGCCCCCTCACACGAGAGCCCTTTGGGCTTAAAGCGTGGATAATGCAACAGGCTCAGCCTACCTGTGCTAAGAAACTCCACAAGAGAAAGTGGAGGGCGGCGAGGCTCTGATACCATGTAAAGAACCTTGGGATACACCACCCCAAAAGCTAGCTCAAAGGGTGGGAGTGCCCAAGGCTTTATAAAGGCCACATTAGTTGCACATACAACCAATGTGGGACTATATATCTCAACAAAGATTGCATTGCGTTGCATTTTTAGTTCTAAATATTAGATTCGTTAGATTACGATTACTATTTTATTAAATTTAATATAAATATTTGTGATATCTTATGTTTCTTTTTGAAATTGATGGATAATATAAATTTAACTTTATTTTTTTGTTAAATTATTGAAATAATATATATTACATAAATTAAAAATATTATTTAATATCAAGATATATACTAACGTGTCAAAATTTAATATTTTTAAAAATTAACGTATCATAATATCATATTGTGTCTTGTGTCTATATCTGTGCAAGATAAGGTAAGCGGATGTAATTGTAAAGATTGAGATTACATAATCTAAAAAACTCTTTAACCCAAAAACTTTTTATGAGGTCACATCAATATTTATATATTATATTCATTTAATCCACCTTCTCGTACAAGAATTTATTGAATCTTAGTACATCAAATTTCATCTATCTTTATTAATAAATGGAGTAAAGAATTAATTTAACTCAAAATTTTGACCCATGACTTTTGATATGATATAAAAAATTAATTCAACTTAAAACTTTTAAGTTTTTTTTAAGGCGAAGGCCTAGTTAACAATTTCATATTATATTTCTGACTATTCTTTTAGTAACTCAAGTGAAGCGGTACGGTACACTGGTTCAGGTTTGTCACAAAATAATCTCGAAAGATTTTGACAGGTTTCATGGACGATATTCGCAGTTTTACCAACTATTATTGCAAGGTTCTTGAATGCTCTCCCATCAAATGAATATACTCCTGTTTCGCTCAATGCATGTCTTGCAAGTAAGTAACATAAAATATTGATGTGTTTTGTTGTATAGATCTGGCTGATATGCTAAGATTACCAAAATCTACCTATTCAGATGGCTGGATTTTCACTCTCCACAAGATAAAAATTTCAATTGGAAAAATATTTCTGCAGTTAATGCAGATAAGTTATCTGTATTTATTCCCAAAACAACGTCGTTTTGATATTAAAATCTTAAACAATTATAAATATAAAGACTATGATAACCCTGAAATAAATTAAAATTACAAAAATACCATAATTTCCGTTCCAAAACGACGTCGTATTGACTTGCTGCAGATGCATTAAGCAGAAAAAGCAAACCCTTCTTTGATACGCTGAATGTCATTTCTGAGAACAATTTAGTTGGGAAAGTACCATTATTCTGAAGATACACATACATTTTTATTTTTTTTGGGTGGGGAGATACACATACATATTGTTTCCGTAGATTTATTCCATTTTATACCATTCATTTTTAAAGAAAATTTGTGAATATGTTTGGCGTAATTAATAATACAATGTAAATACTGATAAAAAAATATAAAAATGAATTTAAGCTGAGAAATTTGAAAATGTAAATATAATTATCTAAGATTGTTCTTTGTGTTTGTGTTTCATTTTAATACAATATTTTTTTTTCTGGCTTTAAATGATATAGAACGTATGTATTTCAAGGCTGTCATCAAAAGTCGTTGAAGATAATACTCACAACAGAATTTTACAGAGCACAAACACAGAGTCTAGTGTACATACCATGATCCACCCATAACTGTGGTCATGCAAGCTCATGATGGTATACAGCTAAGCTAACCATATAAAATCAAATCAAACTATGCAGATTTAGTTTCTGATGCTCCAATGCAACCAAGACATGTATCATGCAGAGACTAGAAGAAAGTATACTTCAAAACAATCCTAACAGACTTTTGTTACAAGCAGTTTACATCATAACTTATATAAAGCCTTCATGACTCACAAACATCATATATACAATGAGGCAATGCCACTTCATTCTATAAACAAGTCTTCCCAGCTAACCTGGCATATTTGTTTTGGTTCAAAATTGTTAAATGCAGTTCTGTGTACAAGAACAAGGCAAGAAACATATCCATCAAAATCCAGGCCAACCCTGTTCATCTGATCATCTCTTTGCTGCCTTGTCTGTAATGAATCATGTTAGATTTTGACATATTGCATCAATTGAACACTCAGTTTATGATATTATCAAAATTACGTGACTAACCTTGTTCTGGCAATACATGCAATTGCCATTGAAAATAAGCAAAGCTAACTAGTAAAGCCTTATTCTGGTATTGATTTTGCTACGGCAAATGGGGCAGAATTCGAGATTTTCTCCACAGTCACAACAAGTCTGCCCCATGTGAGGAAATAACAACCATGGGAAGAAAAGTTAATATATTGTCCTTTTCATACAGCCTTAGTTCTAGATGAATCAGCAGCATATAATTTAATTGGTTACCTGATGCCCGCAACCAAAGGCCATATCCTTCCCGTTAACAAGACAAATCGGGCAAACCTGCAGTTAACCATGTCATATACAAACCATTGTTTGAAAGTGACACTGAAATGATCATGAAGATCAAGTCAGGACTCAAGAAAGGAAAGCAAAACTATTTCTCAGGAGAATGAGAGAGTTGTTGGAAGTATTCAAGTATGAGTTGTAATGAAGTACCACATTGGCTAGACCTAGACCAAGTGATGACTATATAAGTGCAAAAAAGACCCATAAACCCATTGCAAGGGATACATCCATGGGCCAAGCGATAAACCACAATAAGTGGGCCGACACCACATTTTAACCCAAAACCTTAAGGCTGTAGGTTTATGGGTCTTTTTTGCACTTATATAGTCATCACTTGGTCTAGGTCTAGCCAATGTGGTACTTCATTACAACTCATACTTGAATACTTCCAACATCTTCCCCTCAAGTATGAGACCCAACATCATGCTCCCCCTTAAGGGCAATTTCTGCGGAATTCTTTGTTCTTTAAGTATTGGAGTCACACTAGCCTTCTGCAGAGGCCTTGAAACATCACCATCTGTAAATACCCAGCCCAGCCAAACCTTTGGCTCTGATACCACTGTTGGGAATGGTATGGGGGAGCCCAAAACCCATTGCAAGGGATACATCCATGGGCCAAGCGATAAACCACAATAAGTGGGCCGACACCACATTTTAACCCAAAACCTTAAGGCTGTAGGTTTATGGGTCTTTTTTGCACTTATATAGTCATCACTTGGTCTAGGTCTAGCCAATGTGGTACTTCATTACAACTCATACTTGAATACTTCCAACATCTTCCCCTCAAGTATGAGACCCAACATCAAGAGTAACATCTTAAGTTGAAAAAAAAAATGGTCTTAATACCTTATTATCATATAAGCCACCGGAAGATGGTTCTGTGTTAGCTCCATTATCGATGCCAGCATATGTAGATGTCCTCTGTTGAAAACTGTTTGAACGAAAAGATGTGCTGCTGCTAGAAGAAGCCCTATCATAATTAGGTGGAGGAAGAGGAACCCTGTCTGGTGAATGTCCCCGTCGTGCACTGCTTACATCAATGATTAAGACATGATGCAAATTAAGTTATTACTGCAGTAAAACTTCTACAATAGGCTATAAGTACCATATTTTCCTATATTAATATTCAGTTAATACCCCAATATGCCATGATCTATGGTTGCCTTATATTGAGAAGGTATCTCCATCAAAGCTGCTAGAGCAAACTCTGTCTCTCTTCTACTTGAGTCTACACTCCTCGTCATTATTTCGGTAAAATTCACAAACTACACGCAGCCAAGAATAAAATATTCACATTTCAGCATAATAGGAATATTTACATATGGCGTGTCAATATGGCTAAGTGAATTACACCAAACCTGAAAATTATCAAAGGCTCGAGCTGGAATATTATCATCGAATTCCCTCATCATATCCCATGGTCCATCTCCAACACCCACCAAAACTATTGACAGGGGATACTCGCTGCAGTTTAATGAGAGTATAAGAATGCAGGACAGTATTCCAGAGGAGAGAAAACTACAAAATTTACCTGGCTTTTACAATTGCATCAATTGTCTTTTGTTCCTGTGGACTTAGCTGGCCATACTGTGTGTCAACGCTTCTGGTCACCTGAGGCAAAAATTTTAAGTATCAATTTTTCAAGATCATGCACAGGGAAGGAAAAAGGAATATCTACAGTAAAATATTAATAATTTATTGAAGCATTGACAGGATTAAGTGCATTTCATACCACCTGAACAACATTAAATATCTCACATATGACTACTGAAGACTCTACATTATTGACCAGACTAGATAGTTTTTGTTTCTAACTGATCAGATTTGCTGGTTTATGTAATTGATGGGAAGGGGGATATAATAGGATCCCTACCCATGCTGGCACAGTCCTTGACGGCCCAAACAGAACGCTGGTAAAGTTGTGACAAACAGAATTGCTTGCATTTCCAAACAACAACAATACATTTATTAAAGTTCCTGCATCTCTTAATATATAAATTGTAAGGAAGACCCTTTTTCTAAAGCTTTCCTCATATTACTATTTGTTTGAAGATGCGTATCACTACAGTTTTACCTTTTCAAGTCCATCTTTAGTTCGGATATGGCCATGTAACCAATTGATCATGACATATTGCAGGGAACAGAAGTTTTTGAGACATATATTTTGCTAATCTAATCATTTTTATCAATTTTCTTCAGCAACTGTAAATGACAAGATGTTTATGTGTCATATTATGAGCTATAGAAGATATTATTATCATCATTAACAAGGCAAACCAAATAAAAATTTGCTGTCATGACATAACTAAGCATTGTAGGTTTCTTCACCTATGATACTTAAAGAGTCATAGTCACAAAGTAAGCATTATAATTTATAACTGCCCATGGAACGTTAATGACTGGTGCAGATTTAACTACTTAGTAATTGTGCTTTCCAATGGTATGAAATATGTATTAAAGATACCTGTCCATCAGCAATTATTAGCAAGACATGATATTGGCCTCCACTTTGTTCAACAATAGTCATGGCCATCTCAATAATAGGGGCAAATGAAGTGGGTCCTGTCACATGAATGTAATGAGTCATGCTGAGCCAAATTCAAAAATGCTAAGATTATTGGTGAAGGAAACACCTGCCAGTCGGAGGCCAGGAACAATATCTCTGTATCTTGACAAAACTTCCTCAAACCCACTGCAGAACCTCTCATCTGAATGGAAACTAAAGACATCTTGATCATGTGTTGATGCTGACGGGAAAAAAAGAAGAACAAAGAAGCCCAATCAAGTTTGCAATTTGGGAACATAAACAATTGGAAAAGCATGAAGATTTATATCTGGATTTACCATCTCCAAATCCAAAACAAGGAATCAAGTTATCCTCATCAAAGGCAGATATAGTTTTCCCAATAATCGAGATTGCTTGTTCATAAGGATTATGACCGCTTCCAATGTGATGTAAACTTTTTCTATTGAATGACCTCTTCCCTGATTTTCAAAGTGAATCCTATATATTTAGTACCACAACTCAATACAGGAAATTCAAGCATCAAGATGTGAGTAAAAGATAAAACCTGTCCATTCATTGCTCTTTGTGAAATCAATGCCAACAATGAGATTAGAAGATTCCAGGCCAGCATGTGCTAGGGCAGCAGTAACCTGGTGCGATCATTTCATTATTTGACAAAATAAGGTGTTTTTTCTCAGTTATAACTATAAGAATGATGATTGATGGGTGAACCAGCTAATAGATGATTTGCATAAAATTAAAATCCGCTATCAACTCTAAGAATAGCAATCCTGATTGATCTATAAATTGTATAAGGTCACTCATACAATTTGTTATGGATAGTTAAATAGAATATTGAAATTTGTGAAAAGAAAATGGTAAAAGAAGTCAAGCAGTAAGCTTCGTCCATATATTTTCTCAAACCTACTTTGTTCTGGACTATGTACTGGCTACTGACCAAGTTTTCTCTAAAGAGGTGTAGCCAAATCACATTGATAACACCTATCCTGCTAGGAATATTAGAAAATGAGATGCTCTATTGATTCGTGCATGCATGATCAGGAAGAACAATAAAGATGAGGGAACATGATCTACATAGCAGCTTTTCTTAAGCTACTTCTTTTCAGCTGAACTTGAGTAACTAATTTCGGTTGAATTTAATGGTCATGGCATGTTATAAAGGTTTTTTTTTTTTTTTTGTCAATTTTAGGTAAAAGTGTAAAAAATAAATAAAAAATTATAGGTTATTATACTGATAGTAAAAGTGTAAAAATTCTAAGCAAGGCTCTTCTATTGTCGGGAGACACCCAAATATTTATAAAATTCAGTATTTTACATACAATTTTTTTTCCTCAAAGCATGTTAGCGCGGACACTGATTCTTATACCCTTCAGCCTTTGCTATGGAAACAATAAAATATAGGGTTTTATTAATCTAATGCAATAGGAGAGAACTCTCTCATGCAATAGAGATAATTATGTGTGGGACCCACCCCTATAGAAAAAAAAAAGAATAAAAAAGTAACACGGAGATCGATGTATGCGTAGGAGAGAAAAATTCTCTCCTACAACGTAGTAAAAAAAAGATACTTCTCATGTTTACTGTTACACTGAATCCTTATTACTGTTATTATTATGAGCCTAAATATGTCGATTCTCAACATTGTTCATTACAGGCAGGAATTTGAAATCTGATTTCAGAAAGAACAATCAACAACGTCGCCTTTAACATAATTAGATAAAACAAAACTGATTCCGTTTCTTTGTTTTCCTCCCTTTTTTGCTGACCTCTGATACTTGAACTTTTTATTGATGCCATTCACATTACTCTCTGAAAACCGCCGGAAGGTAGACCAGGTCAAGTCAATGTCCCCAAGGTCCCTATCCTCCCCACCCACCCACCCACCCACCTCTTTACCAAACAGAGTCTCACAGAAGTCAATGATACTAAAAGACCAAACCAAAGATGATGAAAAAATTGCTCATATATTCATACAAAAAACATAATTGGACATAAGAAAATCACAACAACACAAAATAAGCAGCGATCTAACCTCGTCCAGTGAATGGTAATCATCAGCTATCTTGGAATATTTCCTGTCCAACCTCCTTCTTGGCTGTGCATAGTCTTGCTGCAATGGAGCTGGGGGTGCACGGTGGTGAAGAGGGGTTTGATATGGACTTTGTTGTGGGTATTGATATGATGGTGACTGCGGGTATCCATAATTATCCCATGAAGATGAAGAACCAGAAGACCCATTTGATGAAAAATGCCTCCTCTCAGACCCTTTTGAACTCTTACCCCCCATGATTGACTCCTTCAGAATCAACCCAAGGAAACACAAAATGAGAACCAAAGCTGTCCAAGTCTCCAGCTGCAATTGCAGATCATATGTCAATAACATACATACATATATATGTTCATGGAAGAACCAAACTATAACAATGGATAAGGGGGAGAAAAAAAAAAATTCACAATTTTGACCAGCGCAATACAATTGGGCAACCTACAAATTTTCTGGGAAACTCAAACTTAGTGATGCAAACTTGTTAACCAAAAAATTGGCTCAGGAAATTTCAAGGTCTAGAACACCGGCTAGTTAATATGAAAGAGAAGACCAAGAAAAATAACTCAGGCGCCTAACTAGAGAGCAATGATGACTGAATATGAACGGCATCGACCATGTATCAACCTTTCCACAAAAATGCTAAATTGAAACATTCACCAAACAGTTTTTTTCCATACCTCTAGATGCATTGCTACCACAAGATTATTGCAAAATGAATTGTAAGGAAATTAACAACTCGCTGGATGTTAATATCTCACGCTAATCACGTTGAGTACGCTAGCTTCTCCTTGTTGAACTAAATAAAAGAAAGAGGACAATGAATGAAGAAGGCTCGTGTTAGAAGGAAACAAGCAACGTCAAGTCAACATCAACTGTTAATACCTTTTCATCCCATTAAGATATCTGTGTATATTATATAATATGTGAAAGTTTTGGAACCATATTACTGAGCAAAATAATAGAGAGTTTAAGAATCTTTGGGTTATATTATCGGCATTCAACAAGTAAATGAATATCCTGTTAACAAGTAAGTAATTTTGTATTTTTAAATCTTCTTCCATTCTATTAATTTAATCGATTAAGAAGCAGAAGTCAAGTCACCTTGTATTTTTCATCGATCCTTCCCCGTAATGCCAGCTGTTATTATCACACGTTTGCATATGTTGACAAGTCCGTTCCCACTGGCCGAAAGTCCCAGGAAAAACCTATCCATGAAACTTCATCAATTATATACTATTAAATATGGAATAGGTAGAAACACCAATCTTCCAATCTTAATCTGGTAATCAAAGGGAAAAGAGGAAGGAAGTAGAACATATAAGCAATCAATTGCACAAGCATGTATGTAGACGGTAGATTCAACTGATAATAACTAATAATGTCATTCGCAGCTCAATTAAATAATAAGAATATGCATCAATTTCATTTCCATTAAAATTCCAAAAATATAAAAATAAAAAACATTTACGTGTGATATGCTAATGTTTATATTATCACGAGATATCTATAGTTGCAAATGCATACTTTGATTTGTTATTTTGGCGTTGTTTGTGTTGTTGTCTCTTATTCCTCGGATTAGGTTGAGAATGACGTGGTTAAGCAACAAACATTGAGGTTGTCCATTGTTAGTCACATGAAAATTGCCAGTAACCTTTGCGTAAATGTATATTTTATTATTTCCTATGAAATACCACCTCCCTTAGTACCTTCGGAGAAATGGGTCAACGAAGGAAAATATGTTTCTTCCAATTTTATAACCCGAGTCCCACGTTAATATTTATTATTATTTGCGAGAATAGAAATTTGTTTAAGTATATACAAAAAATAATTTTTTGTTTATACTTTTTATCTGAAACCTTTTAAATAATCCTTTATCTGCTTAAGCTTCTGTTCAATAATAAAATTATAAAAAAGTAAAAATTTAGTTAATTATAAATCAATTTTCACTTCATTTTCAATTTTTTTATATTTTCTTTTTATATTTCATGAGCATAAACTTTTATGGAAAAATTTTATTTTCACCTGTAGTGATTTCATGGTTTATTACTTAACCTTTTATGGTTTTAAACTTATCATTCATACCCGTTGTGGAATGTGGTTAAATAAGTTTATCATTTAATTTTCTATAGTTTCAAATTTTCACTTACACTCATTGTAATTACAAAAATATATCACTTAGACTCTAAAGGTATTATAAATATAAAATTCTTAATTTTTCTTTACTTTTATTTTATATAATTATGATATTATCAAATAAAATTTTGATAAAATTAATTATTAAAGATTGAATAAAAAATATTTATCTAAAAATATATTAAAGACATAAAAATATTATCTAAAAATATTTATTAAAAGATTGAAATTGTTTTAATTTTTTATTTATCTAAAAAATGTACTTCAAATAAAAAAATAATATTTAAGATAAATTAAAGACATATTAACTAAATAAATTACCTAAGTGATAAATTTAAATAAATGAATTATATATATGTGTGTGTATATATATATAGGGAAAGGATATCGTAACAATCAATTAATGTTATTACTAATCAATTTCATCGTTATATCGATTATGTTGTTCCAACATTTATATTTATTTTCATCTTTGTATGGTTATGATTTTCCATATTTAATACTTTATATGTATTTTCACCTTATGGTTATTATAACCATACAAAGATGAAAATAAATATAACCGTTAGATCAACATAATCGATCTAACGGTGAAATTGATTGATAGTAGCATTGGTAGTAACACTAATATCTTTTTTCTTTTTTCAAACTAAAAGTTTCTTTAAGTTAAACTTAAAAAAAGATAAAGAATAAAATTAAAAGTTGTTTGGTGATTATATAAAATTATCCTGATGATTCTTAAGGAGGAAGATAAAATAATTTATTATTAAGAAAGATTATCAGGATAAAGAAAAAAATTTATAAATACAAATTTAGTATAAAAATAATACTATAAAATAAATATGAGGACTCCAAAAAATTGATACATATCTTTAAAAAGAAAGCTCTTCGTAAAAGCTTTTTAATTTTTAATTTTTTCCTTTATTATAGAAAAACTTCTTTTATAGTGAAAGCTTTTATAAAATTATATTTTATTAAGTTTATGTTTTGAATGAGAAGAGAAATTAAAAATAAAACATTCATTAAATTTGACTGTAGCATATTATAAAAAAAAAAATCAATTTCGTCCCAAAAAAAAATACGGCTTGACCAATCTATCTATGATGATAATATCTAATACAAGTATGTGACGCGTAGTTTGGTATAGGATAAATTTTTTATATCTGAGAATAATAATTTTTAAAAATATGATAAGAAAGTTATTGGGAAAATTAGATTTTTCGGTAGGTTAAAATATTACCCGAATTTTATCCTAAAAAAGTATAAATTTTTTTCAACATCTATGAATCTCAGAATACCATCCCTTTTCACGATATTTTGGAAGAAAAATATTACATGCAATAAAATTACAGGAAAACTAGATTTTCGAAAGAAAAAAAAATCAAAAACCTTATATCAAATATGGTTATCACTATCATTTTCTCGAAATATCAAAAGATTATCCGCATCGAATACGCTATACGAGAATTGTGTGTCTGTTATTTAAAAAAAAGAATTTGTGTGTCTGGGATCAGCTAGAATTAACATATATTGACTAACTGGAGGAAGATGAATATGACCAAGAGAAAAAGGAGCAAAATGGATCACGTCTTGCGAGCACTCGCTCCTCAGTAATTAGAAAATTAAAAAGGAGATTGCCACACTGCCAACGTAGGCCAAGCATGACGACCAGATGGGCAGGGCAACACCTTCATGGAATGTGTTTCATTAGAAACTATCCTACTACCAAATTCATGATCCCTTTCTACTTCTAGTCTTCTAGAAAGGTAGGGCTCTCAAAGCTGGCCCATTCTCTTCAAGTCAAGTCTGGCCCATAATCTTCTGGATATAAACTCGAAATATAGGAAAATCAAACTGGTTGGGCCCAGATTGTGACATTACACATGTCAAAAACAAAATCAGGCTAGTACACAGACACACACACAAAAAGAAGTTAAAATAAGGCTAGTACATCAGTATATACGTTTAATCAATACTCATCAGCCGATACTACCTTCTTCCCTGTCAAATTCTTAAGTAATAATTTATTTAACGACCCGAATTTTTGTTCCTTTTGAGAATAAAAAATAAATAAATAGAGTCTTCACTAATTTTATTTGAATGGGATAAAATTGAAAAACTATTTTAATTGGCAAACTAATCCTAAAAATTACGATTAGAGTCCAATTATATACAAAAAAAAAAAAAGGTGAGAACTTAATCTCAGCTCACATGAAACATCCGAAAAACTAACTACCTTAAATTAAGTGTGCAAATTATTAATAAGTTAAAATATTTTCTTTGAACTAAATATCAAATAAAATTAAAATTATTCAATAAGAAAACTTAAAATGTATGTATATTCCTAATTCTATCTAATTTTTATGATTGATATTATATTTATTACTATCACCATTATTATTTAATTTAATTACTAATTATTAAATGATTTTATTTTAAATCTTTTTTGTAAAATAAATAAATATTATTATATTAAACATAGTATAAGAAATTAAAAAGAAATTTACAACACATAACAAACATTCAAATATGAAAAATTTAAACTTGATCGTAGACCCACCCCGAATAAGATTGTCATATCGTTAAAGATACCCGTGGTTTATCAAATTAAAATTTAAGCTTGAAACTTCCAAATTTGAATTTCAATTTAACAATCAATGTCATTCATCATTTCCATTCAAGGTTAGAAACTTTCAAATATAAATTTCAATTTTGAAAATCAATTCAAAGTTAGAAACTTCAAAATTTCAATATCAATTTTCGAAAATCAATGTTATTTACAATTTCTTCTAAATTTTCATCTTAATTGACCCATTCATTATTTAAAGCCCAAAAAAAATTCCAATTTTGCATTTTTGTAACAGATGCCATTTATCATTATTAAATAAGGTCAAAAATTCTTTCCTTAATCATAGCATATATATTCCCAATATTAATATATGGTTGTCTTGCATACATAAGCATTGCGAGTTGTCACATAGAATAATGCTATATTCTTATTTTAATGAAATGCATCAGAAGGACGTCCACTTGTGAGGTGTTGATGGATATTTGGCTACAAGTTTTGTTTTGTTGCTCTTGTTCCTATATTTGTATCGCTTGACAAAGAAAAGAAATAATCGTGTTGCCATTTGTTGCGGGTTATGGCGGTGACGTTAACAAAAGTGTTGTGGTTGGTTGCTTCAAAAGTTATGATATAGATGAAGAACTTGTGCGGCAAGGTCCCAATATTCCGACTCAAAATTGACGATGTCTAGGTTTCGTCTTATCGTCGAAGCAGAACACGAAAAAGGGTCACACATCCACCATCAATCATTTTGTTCTATTTTTTCCACAAAAAAGAAAATCATTTTGTTCTACACTTCTACCAAATCAATAAATGTCATTGTTAGTTCACCGTAAGCCCTTGAATTCTCAAATTTTCCCAAAGGGCCAAGCATAATCAACTGACTTTTTCTATTTCACTTGTGCGTTGTGTTTTTTTTTTCTCAATAGCATAAACAAGAAAATAATCAAACGAATCGTAGGAGCCTTGAATGTCCGTCAATAACACCCTGTCGATTATATTGTGCCATTCTCCTGATTTGGCGTGACAATTAGCAAATTTTTTTTTTTTTTAATATTGAAGGTGTCATTTCACTGTTGACATATTATAAGGTGTCATATCAAACAACAATTTTCACACGTGCATGTCATTGGTGAAAAGACCCAAGATCAGTGTATTTTTTCATTTATTTTTATATTTTTGAGTAATTACATTTTTTTAAAACCACAACGACCTTATAGTGAAGGAATACGTTTGTTGGTAAATAGATTTCTCAAAGTATATTTTCTTTTGATAATTATATGGGAAATAATTATCTTATATATTTTCATTTATCTTATTGTTTCTCAAGCTAGTTGAGATAATCTTATATCCGGCTACTAAATAATAACCGTACAAAGATGGATCAATGATGATAAAGGAAGAGAGAGAAAAAGAGAATCATAACCATTCAAAGGTGAATCAATTAATATAAGGAAATAAATAAATAAAATGACGTAGTTTTGGGTAGCCGGAGATAAACTTATCTCAAGCTGCTTGATAAATGTTTTTCTCATATATATATATATATATATATATATATATATATATATATATATTAAAAAATATTGTACCTCATTATCTTGTCTCTGTAGCATAAGGTGGTGTATTAGATTAGGATTTAAAAAGATTTTTTTTGAGATAAAAAGTATTATAAATTTTAAGAGACTATTTAGAATTGAAAAGACTTTTAATACTATTTAAAAAGATTTTTCTTACAATCAAGATTTCATAAGATTGAATTTTAAAGAATTTTATTAGAATTTATAAGATTTGAAAGAACAATACGGATTTATAAGATTTTAAAAAACCATATAAATTTTAACAAACATTCAAAATTACAAGAGTCAATAAAAAAACAAACAAATGTAATAGTATTAATAAAAAAAGTTAAAAATTAATATAATTTTCTCAAGGGTTTAGTATTTGTCATTTAAAAGGATGGTCCTTTTAGATGAAAGTAACGTGTTTTTTTAAATTTTAAATTATAAATTTTTTCCTCCTTTCTCTCTCTCCTATAGTTTGTTTCTTTTTTTTTGGAGTTACCCAACCCTAATTATCTCTTTGAGACGAGTTGGCTCCCTCCGGTATCCCCACGAGCTTCGACTCTTTGAGCCGGCTATGAGACTAATCCGGAGTGCGGGGGAACAGTGATGGCTAAAGGTTCAGCCCCCTCCCAAGAATGCATTCAGCGGGAATCGAACACATATCCAACCCCACTAATAGTTTGTTTCTTTATCTCTCTTAAAATGTATAAAAGGACACACATTTTTTTCTTTTCTCAATCAGTAAAACATAATATAATTTTTAACAAACATTCAAAATTACTAAGAAACAACTCTCCACATATCTAAAGCTATACTAATCTTCTACGCATTAGGATTTTCTAATTTCTCCTTTTGGGTTTGACTAATGGGATAAAAATTATTTTCTTCATTTGGTATCAGAGCTATACATATATGATTATAAGATCCAATTTTTTATTTATTAAAATAATTCTAAATTTGCATATATATAACCTAAAGTTCATGATAAAATTTCGTTTCAAATTTTTTGCAATTGATCTTGGAAACCATGAGGTTTTTGTTCTACGTTATGAGAGTTTTCTAACTATATCTCATATGCATATTTTTATTGAGTATTTTAAGAAAATTTCGAATCTGAATTTCTGATTTTTATTACATGAAAGTTTAAAAAATTTCTTAAATTATTTTCAATCGATACATTGAAACCTTAAATTGCTTTGAGACTTTTAAAAAACAAGATTTTAATTATCTATTGACACAAAAATTATTTGAATTCGTTTCCTATACACAAATTATTGTAGTTCTCCTATTGTTTTCCCACTATTTTATGTTCTCTTTAATACAAAAATCACACCTTTTGTGTCAAGAAAAATCGCGACCAATAGCTTGAAAAATCATTTTTTAAACTTTCAAAAGCTCTCAAACATCACTAAAAAATATGCTATTTTAGAGATAAATTATATTATAATCTTGTTGGTTTGTTGTTTCTTGATTGTTTTGTGATAAACATCGCTCAAAAATCTGCTATTTTTAGCTTTGACGAAGCTCCTATGGCAGAACCCGATTTCGAGCGGGTCAACCCGCCAAAAGAAGAAGATACTGCAATAGAGAAATCTCAAGAAATCCGTGAGAGGGACATTTTATTTATATTTCTCACTAAAAAATCTCACGAAATCCACACAAATAGAAAATCCATTAAAATCGTCAAAAGTTTTAAACAACACAAGATTATTTTTCCTTTGTTTAAAATTCTGATTGAATACCAATGGATTTAGAGGGACTCTAAAATAATCTTTTAAAATCCTAATCGAATATCTCGTGACTTTTTTCTATTCTTTAAACTCCTAATTGAATACTAATAGATTTCCCCCCCAAAAATAATATATTAAAATCTTCTGAAATCTCAATCTAATACACTTCCTAAGATAAATAGATCCTTAATTATATACCCAACATTATCTAAATAAAATGAATTACTTTACTATAAGCATACTTTTCAAAAAAATTAAGTTTGTAAAATTAAATTTTAATCTCAAACACACATAAAATGTTTCAAGGGAAAAAAAAAGATGAAGAAAAAGAAGAGTTTAAGAATATACCTTTGGGAGGGGTTTAAAGTCTTAATCCTGTACCCGCCCCGAATTGGATTAGTTGCGAAGCAATGAACCGATTGAAATATTTCCAAAAAAATATATGTATATATATAGTTCTTGTAAAAAATTGTATCCGCATCTCTAAATTTTAATCAAATTCACTTAGGAAATTTTTTGAAGAGAAATTTTTTGAATACTAGGAAAATGTAATTGATAGGGAAATGGTTGAAAAGTGAGTTTGGTAAGAAAATGTAAAAAAAATTGTTTGGTTAGAAAAAAATTTATTGGGCAAATTAGGTAAGATTTATAAAGTCTATGTTTGGTTTGAGGTAAAATATAGATGGGGAAATAACTTCAAATTACAAATATAACCCCATAAAAAAAGTGAAACCTTGGCACTTTAGATGAGGGTATTTAAGTCTATTAGTAAGTTGCTCTTTTGCCATTTAACTAGCTAAATGTAAAATACCACCCTCAAGTTGTCTTTCTAAATAGTAACTTTGCCTTGTTTTTTATGAACAAATAAGGAATGCTATGCAAATACAATACCTAGAGAAATTTTGTAAAATCATCTACCAAACATTGCTTTCTTACTTTGCCAATTTAATTTATATAGATAAATTTTAAGAAATCTTCAACCAAACACCACCTTAAAAATCTTCGTAATTTTCTCTTTGATGAAAAAAAGAAGAAGGAAGGCTTCTCTAATTTTGTTCCTAATAGTTATTGCGTTGCGTGGCGTGTAAGTCACCGCTTCTTGAAAAACGAAGTTTCCTTTTCTTTTTTTTTTCTTTTCTTTTTATTATTAATTAATAAAATAAGTGCTCATTTGAATGCACTTTTATTATTAAAAAAGTTGCTTTTTTTTTAAAATAAAAATTCTTTTGAGAATTTTTAAATGTTTGGATAACAACTTTTATAAAAAGCAAAATTTAAAATAAAAGTTAAAATGCCATTTTTTTATAGCCAGTAGTTGGTTGCTTTTGAAAAAAGCAAAAATTAAAAGATAATATATAATTTTTATTTTAGAAAAAAGATAATATATAATTTTTTATTTTAGAAAAAAGATAATATAAATTTTTAAAATACAATTTTAACTTTATCTTATCATACTTATTTTTGTCTGCTTATCTCACGATCATGCTATTTTATCTCTCTTTTATTGTAATTTTATATATATAAGTGCTTTTTTTATTTTAACATCCAAATAATTTTTTTATGTAAAAGTGATTTTCAGATCATACATACAAACGTAAAATAATTCTATCTTTTTAAAAAGTTATTAAAAAAAAACAATGTATAAAAAATCAATTTTTAAAAAAAACTCATCCAAACAGGCCCTAAAACAAACAATAATTAGTCAATTTTATTATAAACACTACAGCGGCACTTATTTTTTGAATTGAAAAAATAAAAATAAAAGTTAAAAGTTACTAGGATTGATACATTGGTGAGAAATTTGGGTAGATTGTTTTAGATTATGGGTTCAATTCTTATTAATATAAAAAAAAAAAATTGAGGAATGTTTATAAATCTGGAACTGCAAAATTCTGTCGAGACTGGTTGGTACGTTGTTGTTTAGTGTTTCTGCGTCTATCCCTAATAACCAAAACCTAAGACACGATTACAATAGATTAGTTTCCACTCATCCCATGTCGTTGGTCTTTCCCTCCAATTTCTAGGGTTTATCATATCATATATATTTTTATGTTATTAAATTAAATGGCTGGCGCCGGCGACCTAGATGCCGATGCAGTGCTCAGCGACGTCGAGGACGATGGCGGAGATCCGATTCCGATCGAGACGAAGCCTCCCTCACCGGAAGACGTCTCCGTCGAGAAGCTCCGGGAGGTTCTCGCAGAGCTTGATCGGGAGCGAGAGGCGAGACTCGCTGCCGAGAATTCGAAGTCGGAATTGCAGGTTTCGTTCAACCGATTGAAAGGGCTGGCTCATGAGGCTATTAGGAAGCGCGACGAGTTCGGGCGTCAGAGAGACGACGTCGTTCGGGAGAAAGAGGAGGTGGCGAAGCAGCTTGAGGAGGCGGCGAAGGAGCGTGACGCTCTGAGATCGGAGATTGGGAATTCAAGCCACATGCTGGTGACCGGCATGGAGAAGATCTCGGCGAAAGTGAGCAGTTTCAGCGGCAACAACGTGTTGCCACGGTCGCAGAAATACACAGGCATGGCGGCGGTGGCGTACGGTGTTATCAAGAGGGCGAATGAGATTGTGGAAGAGTTGTTGAAACAGAATGATGCAACTGTCAAGTCAAGGAACGAGGTTAGGGAACAGATGGAGCAGAGGAATTACGAGATTGCCATTGAGGTTTCTCAGCTTGAAGCAACCATTAGTGGCTTGAGGGAAGAGGTTGCCAAGAAAGATTCTCTTGTTGAGGGTTTGGAGAGGGATTTGGCTGATAGGGATGAGAAGATGAACGAGATTTCGGAGAATTTAAGTAAGGAACAAAATGAGGCTTTGCAGTTGAAGGAGTTTGCTGGTGAGTGTCAGGACAAGTTGAGTGAGTTTGAATCTAAGATGGAATCCCAGAGGCCTTTGTTGATTGATCAGTTGAGTTTCGTGTCCAAAATTCATAATCAGATTTTCAATGTTGTTAAGATAATCGATGATGGGGGTAACTCTGAATTGTCTGAATCGTTGTTTGTCCCGCAAGAAACGGACATTGAGGAGAGTATACGTGCCTCTTTGGCTGGGATTGAATCCATATATGAGTTGACTAGGATTGTTGTTCAAAAAGTTAGGGATGTGATTGAGGAGAAGAATCGTGAGATCAAGAGTTTGGATGAGACTGTGAATCGGTTAGTTAGGGAAAAGGATCAAATTGGTTCTTTGCTTAGGAGTGCTTTGTCAAAGAGGATGACATCTGATCCATCTTCTAGAAAAAGTGAGTTGTTTCTAGCTGCAGAGAATGGGTTGAGGGAAGCTGGGATAGATTTCAAATTTAGTAAGCTTCTTGGAGATGGAAAGGTTGCAGCTTCAAATGACAAGTCAGGCATGACAGAAAAAGAGGAGGATGAAATATACTCTTTGGTAAAGTGTTCATTTTTGTTTCTAGTATTTAATGAAACTTTTGTCCTCATCTTAGTTTTCATTTTGAAGATTCATTGATGAGTTCTTTATGAATGCATTCTTTGCAGGCTGGTGCGTTGGAGGATGTTGTTAAAGCATCTCAGCTTGAGATCATTGATCTGCAGCACACTGTGGATGAATTAAGGTACTTGACATTAGAATCAAATGCACAGTTTTTTTATATTTGTCTGCTTTAAAGTTTGAAGTTTCATAAATGAAAGTGTTCTCCTCATTATTCATTGAACAACTTGCATATGTGCAATTTCTAGTTATGCTGACGTCTTAAATCTTTTTTTTTCTTTGCATATTGCTTAACTGCATTAAGGGCAGAGTTGAGTTTACTTAAGCAGCACATAGAAGCTCAGACCAAAGAGCTCAACCATAGAATGCGACGGATAGAGGAACTTCAAGAGAAGGAGAGAGTGGCAAATGAAAATGTAAGCCTAATTATGTTTTCTATTAGTTTTTTTTTATCTAGGTCCCTAACTGTGGATATGGTTTTATCTGATATTTGTGTATTGTAGAATGTAGAATTTGTTGTGTATCCCTAGGCTGTATGATTATCTATACTTTTCTGTTATTAAGTATCAACTTGGCCTATTCGTGATGTAGATTGAGGGGCTAATGATGGACATTGCTGCTGCTGAAGAAGAAATTAACAGATGGAAAGTGGCAGCAGAGCAAGAAGCTGCTGCGGGCAGAGGTGTTGAACAAGAATTTGTGGCACAGGTATGCTTTCTTTTAGCAATATTTGTTATATTTGGATGGCATGTCCGAATAAATTTTTAATTCACGGCTGAGAGCATTATTCTCTCTCTCTCTCTCTCTCTAATTTTTATTTGCAAATGTTTCTTTTGGCATTAAGTCTAGCTTTAATTGTGCAATGATTAATTGAGGACTTCAGAATTATAAGCTGATTGCTAGGGATAACTTTTTTCCATTAACTACATTACATTCAATGTCTGATGCTCCCTCTGTTTTTTAGCATAATAGTCTTGCTGAAAATATTTATTGATTCAAATACAGCAGGTTGATATTTTAAGTTGAGATTACAGAAAGCCACCTGTTGGTGCATATTTTTAATCCTACTATTATCATTTTTCATTGATCTAGTCCTAGTCATAATTGCTGGTTGCAAATCTGCAGTTGTCAGCACTTAAGCAGGAAATTGAAGAGGCAAAGCAGTCCATGTTAGAATCGGAGAAGAAACTAAAATTCAAAGAAGAGACCACAGCTGCTGCCATGGCAGCCAGAGATGCAGCAGAGAAATCTCTTAAGTTGGCAGACTTGAGGTCTTCTAGACTAAGGGACAGAGTAGAGGAGCTTACTCATCAGCTCGAAGAGTTCGAGAACAGGGAAGACTCAAGGGGCCGAAGTAGACCTAGATATGTGTGCTGGCCATGGCAGTGGCTCGGCATGGACTTTGTTGGATTTCAGCAGCGGCCTGATACACAACTGGAGGCTTCTAATGAAATGGAGCTTTCCGAACCTCTCTTATAATTGCACCTTTTCTTTTCTTTTTTATTTTCTTTTGTGTATTTATGTTGATTTCTTCAATTTTATGTCACAAAATTGTAGTTATAGCATCAACCCCTCCACCATCTCTTAATGCAGCAACATGGTGTTGGTCAACCATTATCATATTGCTCGAGTAACTTGCTATTACAATCTGGTTGTCCTGTACGATCCTTTCTTTGAAGCAATTCACACACATTGTCATTACATTACACAAACGGAATAGTCATGTTTGTTTAATGAAAGACTTTATTCATGTCCACGGGAAAGACTTTATACATGTTTTTTTACCTTTTAATTCTTTTGGGTTACATTTTTTGGCTGGGGTTAATGAAGTTACAACCTCCTTAGTTCTGGATATCCATTTTTTCCATTGAGATACATATATATATGTTTTCACACACACACACACATATATATATATATATATATATGTTTTCATCAAAACATAGTCAGTCGATAGAGATACATATATTTAATATATGCAAATTTATATTTTATACTTAAAATTTCATAAAAATTTCAAATACTTAAATTTACATATATGTGTTGCAATTTGTGAATTTGAGTTGTTGGTAGTGGTGTAAACACAACATTTCACTATTTTATTTTATTTTTAAAAAAAATTGCATGAGGTTAAACTGGTTCAAAGAAAATCGGCCAATTTTCACCAGGTCTGTTATATAGTTGATCTATTGACTCAATCAGACCAATTGTATCCCGGATTTTCGAATCAATCCGTTCGATCCAAGTTGAGTTTAATAAAACTGATCATTAAGTCTTGATGGATTATGCATGCATTGACTTCTTCAATTGTCTTCCTTGAATTTTTTTTATTTTTTTTTTGTACATTATTTTCAATTGTTGCAAGTTGTACCACATTTGAAGTCTTTTTTTTCTATGTTAGTATGTTATCATCAAAAGTTTTGCATTTTTGGATTCTTCAATTTGAATGTATTAGTTCTACATATTTTATATATGTCGATCGTTGTATCTGAATGCATTATACATGTAGATAGTTTTTAAAGTAAAAATTATTATTATCCTAATAACTTATTTTATTTTAATACTATCTATTTATTTTCAATAAATTAAAAAATAATATTAAAAAAAAGGATGAATAACAAATTTGTTTGTATTTTACGAAAAAAATAAGAACTTTACATTATTTAATCTTAATTTAAGTAAATCATAAGAGTGCCTCAAAGATATAGCGACGATCATCTCAATTAAAATTTAAAAGCGAGGCCTGCAAAATTATTTTTTCTTGAGCAACAAATTATAGTACATGTTGAATAGAACATCGCATTGGTCATTTTACTCGTTATAGCATATTCGGTTCCATAATACTATTCAATTTAATTTTATTAATTGTTATGGGAGAAAAGTTAAAAAATACTCCTATGCTTTGATATTTTATATGATAGGGATAGAATATTGTATTTATATTTTTTTTTTCACGTCTATTCTACTTATTTTTTTTAATATCATTATATCAGAATATAATATAATGTTCAAAAATGGGATAGGATCCGTTTACAATTTTTTTTTGCAAATTACACTAAGTACGACCGGTCGTACACTACATGATTAAAGTATAACCGGTCGTACTTAGTGTAGTTTGTAAACAAAAAAATTTGGAAATATAACCTGCTCCTTCGAAAATAGTAAATAAAATAGGTAAAAAAAATAAATATAATATCTTGTCCCTAAATAATGTAAGGGAGGTTTTTGACCTTTTCCTTTTATTTGGAAACTAATGAAAGTTTATGGCTTTGATAATAACGATTCCACGTGAACTCGTAAGATCGCCATGCAAACTCGTAAGAACGCCGTGCAAACTCGTCAAAACGACAGGATCGTCCGATTCCACCGTGACAAGTACTTGACCCGTTTTGCTCGTAAAAACCCGAAATTTCATAAAGCCCTAACCCATTCGATGGTGCTACATATCTTGTTTCTGCTTGAAGAAAACCCTAACCCATTCGGCTGCTGGTTCGCTTGATTCGACCACTGCTCTTCTTTGTTTCGCTTGTGAGTGTTGGTGGATTCCAAGGTTCGTTGCTTCTCTCTTTCTCTGTTGTCTTTGTTCTGCTTCTCTGTTCTCTGTTCTCTGTTTGTTCCCTTATCTGTTTGACTGACTTGTGGTTTGTGGGTGCTTTAAGAGTGACAACACTGCTTCTCTGTTCTGTGTTTGGCAGCATTGCTCTTATTATCTCATATTCTCTGTATCTGGTTCTGCATTGAGTATGTCTTTAAGTTTGGCTAGTGATGGTGCTGAGAGTGCGTTGTTGAAGAGGTTGGTGAAGAAAATGTTGTCCAAGTTGTGACAGACTATACACCAAATTACAAAGTTGCTGGAGAAATGTTGATGGAGAAAAGGACAAGGTTGTATTGGACACCTTGCATGACTCATTGCATTGAATTAATGTTGGAGGATTTTGAGAAGAAGATACCGGTTCATCAAGATACAATTCCAAAGGGGAAAAAAATTACAACGTATATCTATTCAAGAACTTCTCTCATTTCTTTGTTGCAACACTTCACCAAAGGAAAGGATTTGGTGAGACCGGCCATGACTCGTTTTGCCACATCTTACCTAACTTTGGGGTGCCTCAATGACAATAGGGGAGCATTGATAAGAATGTTCTCCTCCAATGAATGGAAATCTAGCCGGTTTGCAAGGACAAAGAAGGGGAAACTTATTGAAGATGTGGTCATGGATAAGAGATTTTGGAAAAATATTATAGTATGCTTAAAGGGCGCTTATCCTCTAATCAAAGTGCTTCACTTTGTCAATTCAGACAAGAAACCAATGGCGTTCATTTACGAAGAAATGCACCAGGCTAAAGAGAAGATACAGAGTGTCTTCAATGGTGTCAAAAAAAGGTAAATTATCAAGTTTATGTAGAATAATTGAAATTTTATAATCTTTGTTTGATAGCTAATTCAATTTTTTGAATTTTTATAGTTATATGCCTCTATGGGATGTCATTGATGAAAGATGGGACAAACAACTCTGTAGACCTTTGCATGTTGCAGGCTATTACCTTAATCCTCAATTACACTATAGTCCTGGATTCAAAGCTAATTTTGAAGTTCAACGTGGATTTTATGATTGTTTACAAAGGATAGTGGGAAGTCTTGAAGAAACAACTAAGATTGATACTCAACTCGAAAATTTCAAGAGTCAGTCAAAGTTTTTTGGTAGTGGATTTGCCAAGATGGCAATCGATACCAAAACTCCATTACAGTGGTGGGATTCTTATGCGTTTGAACATCCAGAGCTCGAACAATTTGCTATTCGTGTATTAAGCTTGACATGCAGTTCCTTTGGGGGTGAACGAAATCGGAATGCCTTTGAAATGGTAAAATTTCAAGAATATGAAATATGAATTGTATTTCATTTCTAAAATTACCTATTACTTGCTATAAATTAATTGCTTTTGTATTCTTTTAGGTCCACACAAAGAGAAGAAACCGTTTGAAACAAAAGACCATGAATGATGTTGTTTTTGTGATGGCTAATTCAAAATTGGCCAAGATGAAGGATGATGCTGGAAAAACTATTGAGTATGGCATTGATGATCTTTCATCCGATGATGATTGGATTGTGGATCATGATGAAAGTTCATCTAATGATGAAGATTTAGATTTGGACAACTTGGATTTGGATACTCCAAATCAAGAAGACTTGGTTCAAGTCGGGGAGCATGCTACTGGTGGTGTTGGTGCTCCTCTGGATGATATGGAGATTCCTAATTTTGATGATGAACCTGATGGTGAAGAAGATGCCATGCATCATTTTGGAGATGAAGATTATATGAAAAATGTTTTTAATGACCGTGACTTGAATGATTTGCTAGATTAGGGTTGGACTGTTTTCTTTTGGTTTTTTTAGTTTTGTGTTGTCAAACACTTAGGCCTTTTATGTTTAGAGTTGTTAATTAAATATCAGTAGTGATTTAAAGGATATTTTGTTATTTATGTTATTTTACAATTTACATGCATATGTACATATTTGAATATAATTTTGCATCCTAGGTAGGGTCTTGTGATCCATGTTATGATCTCACGATTGACATGTTTTTCTCCCTTTTCCGATTCTAGGTAAGATTTCGATTTTTAACTACCAGCTGGGTTTGGTTATGTGATCTTCACAAACTTTGATGTGTTTGTGTTGGAAATCGACAATCACACAAATCGAAAACGAAAAAGGGAAAGAGAGAGAATAAACACAGCAATTTACCCTGACAATTAGGGCTCTCATCAGCATGCGAAGTATGATCCATACCCAGCAGTTTGGGCATCAGTTTTGAGGTTAACTGCAGAAGCAATAATTCCAAATATTGCTGTTGATGGTAATTGAGAATGGGTTTGTACGAGAATAGGATAACTTTATCTATGTTGGCTAGGATGCTGGTGGAATGGCTCAAATGGCTTAAGAGGTTACTATCAGGTTTCGCAAGTGTGGAGAGTTCTGCCCTGGGGCATGCTTGACTAATTTGAACTTTTGAAGGCTATGATGCAGGTGGAATGGTTCAAATGGTTTAGAGGTTATTATCAGGTTTTGCTTGTAAGGAGAGTTCTGTTCAAACACAGAATTGGTTTGACTATCGTAACCATATTTGCATTGTGAGTATCAAATTGACATATAGTGACATCATTTCCAAACTAGCTTTGGGTTTTAAGGTTTGTCGGTGAAACTTAACTGGTTGATCTTGTTTAGCATGTAATGTGTAGACAAGTATTGGTAGACTGTACTGGCCAGAAGGAGCAGGCACTGAAGAAATCATCAAGGCTGTCTTGAAACCTCATCTTCCTATGTACAAAATGTATATTTTTCTAGTCTATTTTTTTTTTTTTTTTTTTCTATTTCATTGTAAGTGTTTCTTGTTTTCATAGAATCCAGTGATGCAGCACGAGCATCAGTCTGCCGGGATCTTATTGACCTCTTGCAGGGTCAACTTCAGTTTGACCCCTCCCGTAGACTGACTGACCTCATGAAGCACTCTGGTCTTCACCAGGGAGTATAACATTAGATTGTAAGATAACGCTGTTTTTTCCATTTAAATCCCCCTCCTTTTCCCCTTTCTTGGATCATCTTGATGGGGTTTTGATGTTTGCTTGGTGGGAGTGTATTTGGCTATATTGAACTGAAATCCCCGGAATGATTCTGAGTTGTGGTTGATTTAATGGCCAGACAAGGGGTCTCCTTTTCCCCTTCTGAGGTTTTGCTTTTATAGATAAATTTTTTTTTTCCCTGTCCATTTTAGTACCATCAAAATCTTATGTATAAGCATTTCACCTTTTGGGACAAATCTTGCTACGACCGGCTGATCTCTGCTGTGTATGATAAATAAAAGAAAATATACAATGATCACATTTTGTTGTGGATTTGAGGTTGATTGGCTATTGAACATTATAAATTGTAGCGTGAGAACATAGAACTTAAAAGCCACGCATCCTTCCCAAACTGTTGATACTTAATATTATGAGCTAAGGTTTGGGATGTTTATATTACTGCATAATAATATCTGATGATTCTGGGGCAGAAAAAATTAAGATACAAATTTGTTATTAAAGAAAACCTACACCATGTTCGTATATTAGCAAAAGAAAAGGAAAAAAAGTGGTAATCCTTAACGATGTTATTTGAAGGTGGAATAGGAAAATTAGTAAAACCAAAAACCCCAAATTTTCAATGACAAAAAAGAATTCCAATTTGACAATATCTCTGCTGCCAAATTGCTGCCTCAGCGTTTTGTTCTACATTTCTTTTTGAGCAAAACCCCGTCAGGAGGGCGTGTTACCATGATATTGCAATGGCTGTAGAGGTTATATGAATACCTTAAGACGCTTCCCAATTTGGATCTAGCACGGAAAACTCCCGTCACTTCAAGCAAAACCCCATTGCTTTCCATTTGTTTCACGAGTCGTTGGCTCTCTCTTATTGGCAGCTGAACTTGACTAGTGACCATATGGATATTCGCAAACCTTGATTGAACCCTTGCAGCCGAGAAAGGCTCGACATATTGACTAGCAATAAGAGTACTTCCATAGTATAGATAAATGGTCACGGAGCTGAAGTCCACATGTACCTTCTTGTTTGGATTTGTGAAGTTTGCCAGCAATGTAAGATCAGCATTGAGTAAATAGCCAAAGTCAAGGTATGCAGCATTTAGTGTGACACTAGACACATCAAAATGAGGACTCTGGGGACGAAAAACCAAGTACACTATGAGGACTATTAAGCCTCCTATAATTATGACAAGGAAAAATATCGCACACAACAAACCACCCAACCAGGTTAAGGGTTTAGATTTTTGTTCTTGAGGCAACCGTATACCACGCTCATGCCGCCGCGGCTCAGGTGGTGGTTGCACCGGAAAGCCAGCAGCCTTAGGGGACGAGGATGGCTCTTGAAAATTTACCCGTGGCCGGCCTGGCGGGTAAGCTTGATCTTCTTGCTGGTTACGTGGACCACGCTGTGGAAAAGGTGCACGTTGATGATCTTCTTGCTGTTTACGTGGATCTCCACGTAGTGGAATTGGTGCATGTTGATGATCTTTTGGCTGTTTGCGTGAACTTCCACGCTGTGAAATAGGTGCCTGTTGATAATCTTCTTGCTGTTTGCCTGGAGCTCCGCGCAGTAAAATAGGTGCCCGTTGATGATCTTCTTGCTGAGGTCGCATTGGAGAATGATCTTGAAACTGTGCTGCTCGTAATGGAACATGATCTTGATCTTCAAGCTGAGCTCGCGGAGGTCTAGAAAAATGAGGGTTGGTTTCTCGACGAGACATGGTGGTCGTGGAAAATGTATGAGGAGAATGAACAGAAAACAGAAAGCTGATACTATGTAATTTGTTATTAAGCTAACGGAAACTAGGACAAACCAAACCCAAAACTAAAATTAAAAATATAAAGGGAATAAGAATGACTTCGTGACAACTCCAAGGATGATTCATGTAAAGGCAAAGAATCAAACGCAAGCCAAGTATGTGGGGCTAAATGTTTCTGCTTTTTATTTTAAAGACTACACCCGATTTTGAGTTTTTCAAACAGAAAGTGATCATGTATCCCTTGTGCATGCCATGTTTTAGTCAAGCCTGATGTAGATGTCTGAATTTTATTGCTAAGCTTATTATTGGACTATATAAAGAGAATCTAAACACACATCAGAGAACCAAACCTTGTGTGAATTTGCAAGTGAAATGGACACTTGGACTAAAAAGATTTCAGAATTGATCATAAATCTTCAAATTTCTCCAATCAGAAAAACATTTAAATATTCTACGCCAGCTACCCGTTAGTAAAGGTTACCGAAAGGACCTGATCTTGGAAGGCGAAAACATACATTCCATCACTCTCGAGCACTTTCAGACTCTTCTACCACAATTTACATGCAAAGGAGACCGACCAATTGCACAAGATACCTTCCCCCCTACTCTGGTCTAAAATACGTAGACCACAAACACAGGGATTGCAAGTTCGAGCACCTTGAAAAGTTAAAACACTCAATAGAACAGAGGAACCCATACAATCATGAGCGAACGTTCGTTAAATTTGAAAGAGAGTAATTCAGCAAAATAAATAAATGAATCAATATGTTAAATAGCCCTGGCATATTCAAATTATCAAAGAAGATACAAAAGAGTAACAATTTCAAAATTCAAAAAATATGTGGCAAAAAATATATATAATAAACATCCACAAATTAAAATGAAAAAGTATAAGCTGGCCATCAGTTGAGTGTAATACAATCTCATTTTATGGGCTACAGCTTAAATTGGGTTGAAAAACTTCAGGCGCTTGGCCATGTTTTCAACTTTACCAGCAACGGGAGAAAAGAGGCTATTATTTACAAATGATCTACCAAACAACATCCACACCCCGCCCTCCCATATTAATCGCCCAGTCCCATGTCAATTGCTGTAAATGCCTCAATAGTTGGAAGGAAATTTCTCTTCAAATTTCGGAATAGAAGTAGACATTATTTTCAGGATTATAAGTCAAATAGAGAAGCTAAACCCAGGTTCTTCTTTTGTTGCTTCAATTTACTTTATTCTCCAAGATCTGGTCATGTGTATAGTTAACAAAATGCAGATGGGACTACCAACTTTTCAGCAAGAACTATTCTCCCTTACCTTTCTCTTCAACACTTCTTCATCCATTTCCTCCACCAAACCCCAAAACAGCTGTCAGAAATGTGATGAGCCAAACCCATAAACTTGAAGGTTTACCCAGACTCACTACCTGAACACGGATGACTTCTAAGCACTCACGTGTTCAGCTTTCATGACCAAATGTCAATAGCTAACATTCTAACACCTCCTTTCTTATACTGAATTGTGACAGGATAAATCATATATAAAAGACACCTCATTCCTAAGAAACTACAACAGTAAATGAGTTTGGTTTCCTCATTAAGCAGAAATGAGAAAAGGTAAAAATAACACATTTAAAATTACCTTCATATTCAATGGCAAAATCCAGGAATTGGAATTCTTCACTTGCAACAATTTATAGAATTCAGATAACAAATTCAAAATTTGTACCACGAGAATCTAAAACAGCATAATAGCATTATTAGGTCAATTTGAATCACTCGGAGAGAACAAGTAAACAACCGATTCAAAATCAAACATAAGCCTGAATTTAATTCAGACTGAAATATACTTATTTTTCTAGAACAATAAGGAGAAAACTTAAAGCTAGAACACCAGTATACAAGTAGAAGTTTGTATTTAGATAGAATATTAATAGATTATTAATGTTTACCCCACTAGCATAAAATGTCAAAGATTAATTAGTTATTGAGTCCCCAGCCCTATCTCTTTTCAACGGAAATGGTGTTAACAAAACAGATTCCACTTTCAAATTCAAAAACTTGAAAAGCAGAAAATCAAATGATACATCCTTAGAGCTACGAGTATATTCTAGATGCAAACACAAAGGATCTGTGGCGACGGCTAGGTCAGCCGAATGATTAGAGAAGAGAATATTTCTCTAGGCTGTTAGAAGGGAAATTTATTACCAAGGGGCATAAATAGCTATGGGGGAGAGAAAGGGGCCATCTGGAATCTGAGAGTGAACTCCTATGTACTGTTGCTTGATATTAGTAAACCAGAATCATATCTTTCTCCTATGAAATTGATTGTTCTTGTGTTAGTTTCATTGTCTGAGCTTGGGTTCTATCATCGAACAACATTAAATCATAGAATTCAAAGTGTAAAAGTACCTAAGAAGTAGTAACTACAACGGAATGGCAACATAATTTGGCAATCCAACAAGAATCCCACCACTTAAGCAGTGAAAGTATCCAAAAACTACAACCGAATGGAGTCAATGGACAGAATTTGGCAATTCAACAACAAGCCTGCAACTTAAGAAATGCTGGAAGTCAAATGCCATTATAATTGAGAATTTACAGGGCAGAAGATATACTGTTTCATCAGTAAAATTGTCACAAAATTCTGTGTCTATCAATCAATCAATCCTTTGATGATTCCTGGTCTAATAATGTTTGATACTGGAGAAAACAAATTGCTTCTTTTAATATCTCATATTCAGGCTGTTAGAGAAATATAAAACCATTAATGCAACAGCTTAAGTTTTTGGATTGAATGGGTTCTTTATATAGGCAAGTTAAAGTCCAATTATGTTTTGATGACCCGGAATTATATTATAAATAAAGCTGGGTTAATAGAGTTTCTAAAATTTGTGTAATAATGTATGCAGATGAAGAAATAGAGATGTCACATGTTGGAGAAAGAAAGATTTATTATCGAATGCAAAATCTTTGAGAAAGACACAGCAAAAAGAGAGAGAGAGAGAGGGAGAATGAGTAAATAAATGCAGAAAGGATTCGTCAACCCAGTCTCAGTATTGCACTTTTCCAAACTAAAATATAGCAGTTTTGAAACTAATTTCCTAATACAAATCATTTTCTGATATTTAGGCACCAACGTGGCATCTTCTTAATATTTCCATTTTTCTTTCATAATCCAGAAGTTGCTGGGACACTAGATGACCGACTTCTATTTGCAAAACATGGAAATCATCAAGAATCCAGATTTATGTCCTTCACCTGCACTTTTCTCTTCACCCCCTCCTTTCCTTCTTTCTATTTCTTCCTCTGCTTTTCTATCAAATCAATCTGCCAATTGGCTAATTATTCTGGTTGTAGTTGTACTTCAGCTACTCCTGTTCCAAGTCGCAAAATTGTCTACAGTAGAATGTATTGGCAAGGAAATGCATTTATCTTCAATATTTAAGGCATTATACACCAGCATGCAATGAGCCAGGGAATAGTAATATCATATTATATGACTATAACAAGTAAGAAAATTATTTTGTTTCACAGACATGCGAGAGGTATGAGAATTGATACCTTGCATCTCCACCAACATATTTTGTCCCCCCAAATAAATAAACAAACAAAAATAAAATAAAACAAAACAAAGAAAGAAAAAAAAATGTAGTAAGAGTAGCAGCGAACCATGTTCTAACTTCTTAGCTTCAATGCAACTATAGAGAATACACATCTATTTGTACTGTGTAATTATCTAGCTAAATTAACATAACTTATGCATATAAAATAGTTTTTCTGATACAAGATTCTCCAGCATAAATGTGCTATAAACTAGTCCAGCAACAAAAGCAAAAACTTACCAAATAACATAATATTTGGTAGCTCCCAGTCATTCCCAATTGATTCAGCAGCCCTTCAGAAACACTATGCAATCTTTGAATGATTCGTACATCCAATTTTTCTCTTTACATTCTTTTGTTTTTGTTTCATAAAGGAGTTGGCAAGGGCAAAAATGGACAGTTCTCAAATAAAAGAATGTGCTAAAATTAAAGGAGTAAAAACATACTTGGACAAAGGTATTGATTAGGGTGGCATTTGTTTAGAGAAGCTTGAAGTTCCATGCTGCAGATATAGACAGAACCATCAAGATTCACCAGAGAATAATGCTAATACAGGTCAGACGAGTTGAAATTTATAACAGTATAATCCAACAAATAGCTATTATTATTAGCTTATTAAAATCTGTGACGATAAGAAGCCATACATAACTTATGCCAGCATCATAGTTTTTTAAGATTCTAACATATTTGAATTTTAACCTAACAAGACTACCAAGTGGATCTTACTTTTTCCACAATTCTTTGTTGAGTTATACAAGCCTATACATACACACAAATAGTAATCTGTCGATCTATTGCTAAAGGTTCCAAAATGCATGTGGTATGAAACCTGAATTTATTGTTCAATAATTTGCTAGGATAGGAAGAAGGTCGCAAGGAACTAGACGTAGGTCACAACAAGATGCAATCACCAATGAGTGTGTATCTTCATAGTTCAAACTTATGTTGTCCAACACATAACAGATGGCATAGTAAATACCCTATACTTCATCCTGATGCAACAAGACATCTATTTACTAACATTAAGAGTTGGTACCCCAAAAAGGGTGCTATACAATTATTAATAGTATAGAACCATAAAATAACATAAAATGTTCATCATCAATGTTTCTGCTTTGCAGGGCTGGATGTGAGCCAATTTGAATTGAACTGCCAATAGACAAGGATTTACTCAAATAGCAAAGAGACAGAGTAAGACTAACTCAAAACCACCCTCAATCTGAAGAAACATCAACTGGGATCTAAATAGGCAGCTGGACTGACTTCAACCATATGATCAATTATTCTTATCAGTTGCGCTAGGTGAGAAACAAATCCATAGCTCTCCATGTATAACAATGGCCAAAAAGTAAATGAACACACTATTGTATTGACAAACACAATCCACCATGTGAATGGTCTTTTGATAATATGAAACAAAACTTGCATGAGATTACTTCCACTGGTAGCAAGAAACCATTACAGAACTTCCCTCGGTATGGATCCTTCACCAGAGACTGGCCAGTAAATTAGTAGTATCAGTATGTTACACAGAACAAAAGAATTATGTGAGCACAGAGACAGGAGAAGGTATGAGATTGCACCATGTGCAGCATAAAAATGGGTTAAACTGATTTACAGGCGCCATTACCTGCAGAAAGAAAGCAACTTCAACAGTTTGCTAAGCTTTCATGTGTTATGTCCAGAGAAAACGTTTAAGTCGGGTTTCTCATTTGAAAGAAAGGTTTGATGAAGTTGAGAAGATCACAATACAAACCAGTGTCATGTTCATGTGCCATCACTTGATTGAATGGCATTGACTAGAGTCTCAGAAAGATGACTGTCAAGTGTAAAGCCTTTTTCCATCATCTGATCCCAAACCCTACAGGCCACTGAAAGCTTTTTTTCCCTTATAAGCCCTCCAACAATCAATTTGAAAGTTACCTCATCAGGATATAATTCTTTCATCTGCATTTCCTCATATAGATGCATGGCATCCATAACTCTAGAAGCCTTGCAAAACCCATTTATGAGGGCATTGTATGAGACCACATCTGGACTTGTTCCATTCTCCACCATGTCACGAAAAACACTATGAGCCATATCAATCTTCCCAGTCTTGCACAGGTGATCAACTATTGTTGTATAGAATATACGATCAGGAAGAAGACCCATCCTTGTCATTTGATCAAGAAGCTTCTTGGCCACATGGGAGCTACCTTCTCTCAGAAACGCTTCTACAAGGATAGTGAATGTCACCAAGTCGGGTTGAATCCCTTTGCTGTACATTTCCTCAAACAATTCATAAGCCCTCCTAGTCCGGCGCGCCTTACAAAATGCCGTGATAATAGTATTGTAAGAAACAACATCACAGAGCCCTTTGGTCTGCATCCTCTTCACCATTGTCAAATAAGCCCTATCCATCTGGTTAGCTTTACAAAAACCCTTCAGCAGCTCATTATAACTATACAAATCCGGCTCCACCCCGCTCCTCTCCATGCTCTCCACCAACCTCACCGCCTCATCCAGCATAACCTCATTACAACAATAATTCAACAAGATGTTATAAGTAACCAAATCAGGCACACACCCATTCCTGCTCATAAACGCCTTGATAGCCAGCGCCTTATCAATCCTACCCATCCTACAAAACCCACTAATCAAAGCATTATAGACCAAACTATTAACCTTCACTCCACCCTTGATCACACCAACAGTAAGCTCATATGCCAAATCAACATAGCCACCACTGCACAACCCAACCACAAGCGCTGTGCAGGCCTTACAATCAGGGCTCAAACCCTTCTCAATCAAGCCACGCCAAACCCGAGCAGCCTCATCAAACCGTTTAAATTTACACAATGCATCAATGACAATAGTGTATGTAACAACGTCAGGCTCTCTTCCCTTCAAGGGCATGCTTTGAAACAGTTCCAAAGCGGTTTCTAACTGATTCTCGCGGCAGAGGAGGTTCAAGTAAATGTTGAAGGCCCAAATGTCGGGGACACAGCCGAGGTTGTCCATGTCACGGAGAAGGTTCTGGATGAGGGTGAAGTTATTGACGCTACAGAGTGCGGAAATGAAGCGGGAGTAGGTGAAGGAGGAGAGGGAGAAGCCGTGGGGGATGACGTGGTGGTAGTAGTAGTGTTCGGCGAGGTCGAAGCGAGATTGGCGGAGGAGAACGCCGATGAAGCGGTTGTAGTCGACGCTGAAGACGCGGCACTTTGATTGGGTCATTTCGTCGAACACATGGATGGCTTTGTCGATTAGTCCCGCTTTCACGTAGTTAGATATCTGAGACCGGTATAAGAGGCGGTGTGCGCCAAGACTTTGATACATATCACAGTTTTCCAAATGCATAGCAAAACCAAAACCAAAACCAAGATTCATTCAACTGCTACTGCTATCTATGTCCCAATATTCATTCCAACAGAAAATTGAGTTATGACTCATCAACACTCCAACAAACAACAAAAGCTACAAAGAGGTACCTTACCTCTGTATGCCTTCGACTTCGAGTGTTGTTGTTTCTTTTCCTTTTCTTTTCTTTTTCTTTTTTTCTTTTTTTCTTCTCTTTCCCTGAACCCGAGAGGAGGGGAGGGAAAAGAATTTGTTTTTCCTTTTTTTTCGTGAATAATTTATTATTATAGCTGTGATGTGACTGTGAGAGCTGTAATAATTGGGCTAGACCATATTTGGGCTTTGGGCCAGTCCTTGCCTGGCCCAGAGTGTGGATTATATTACTAACAATTGAACCACGAGAAGAAGACCATGAGGATTGAAAAATCTAACAATTGATCAATAGTTTCAATGAACCTAGTCCAAATGAAAATTCACGACGGTTCTTTTCAACTGGGCTTATGATTCGGCCACTTTGATCAATATGGGCTCATATTCGAATTATGATATATTTATTTGTATATTTTAATAAAGACTTCGTTTTTTCTATTGTCAATGTATAGTGAGCCCAAAATGATGTTGTTTTGAGGCAGAAATTAAGGTATTTTTGTAATTATAATTTATTTTAGGGTTATAATAGTCTTTTTTATTTTAATTTTTCAACTCAAAACGATGTCCTTTTGGAAGCGAATGTAGATAACTTATCTTTATCTACTGTGTAGAAACATTAAAGCATTTAATAAATTAAGAATATGATATATTTTAAATTAAATAATAAATTAATGAATTATTGCTTAGTGACTTTAAAATGAAACTCAATTTAAAAAATAAATTCAATTTGAAAAGATGTCCTACTTCTCCTCCCACTGTGTAGCAATATAGTAGTTTACTTGGGAGGCAACGATCGTTTGGTGGTTGTATTGTTTGGATGTAATAGGATCACGTAATGACGTGTTTACGAAGATAAGGCTAAGAAGATTTGGACAATGGACAGGTCTTACTTTGGACCAGAAAATTACGCAATTGGCTTGTTCCTTCCTTCATCGCCACCTTTTTTGACCTTATGTTATATTAATTTTGGTTTCATATACTAATAATAGGAATATAACAAAATATATTGATTCTTTAACAAAAATCTTCTCAGTCACACCATCCCTTTTCTAACCACAGTAGCCAATGAGCACGTCATATACATGTTCCACATTTCTGAACCTTTCCAAGTATCGAATCGGCATTTGTCGACCAACTACTAGTACTCCTCTTCTCACCGGCCAACGACCAACGTACTATGACTTTATTTTATTTTTTTATTTTTATTTTGGTGCTAATATTAATTTCCAAGGTTCCTGGGTTCCTATATTATATTTATTTTTACTTATTACAAAAATATGTTAATGAAAATGGGTTGCCATTTCAAGTGTTTCCGTTTTTCTTGTTATTAATTAACATCATCCATTTTTCCAATGTCTCCAGAATTCTAAGTAACGGGTTTGGATTATCAATTGTTTTCTTGCACAATGAAAGAATCATATTGTTTTAATTGTAAGAAAGAAAAATATAACTATTCTTGGGTAATATTGATAGATGATCACATTTTATTTTAAAAAATTGTTTATATTTTCGTCACGGTTTTAAATCTATTTAGTTATTATAAGAAAGGGATTGTAGTTTGTCTTTTAACATGACATAAAAAAAAATTCTACACACACAATATTTTGTGAGGCTCGCATTTTTTAAAGCAAAAAAAAAACTAAGGCACATAAAATGAATCTCTATAACATTATACAATTATTTTTCTTACAACATAACTCTTATAAAACTCTATAAGAAATGAGATTATCCAAAAAGGATCACTTGCATTGTGCCCTCTGGAGAGATGCAACTTGGTTCAGACTTGTGAGAGTGTGTAGCTTTCATTTTGACTAATAGGGTGATTTGATGTAGAAAGACATTGGCGACAGAAAATGCAAGAGGCTGCAATGTAAAACCTGTGAATTATGATAAGGCCCTGCCTTTCTATTATTTGTCATATTTATGTCCCCTTTTCACGTTTCATTTTCATGACATTATTTCGTAGTCATATTATAGTGGTTAGCTATCACTTTTTGCCACTTGGATAGCTTATCTTTTCGAATTTTCATGGAACTTTGGTGCCCTTAATTTCATCTAATTACTATTTAATTGGCAGATTGGTATCAGTTACGATTGTTAGTTTTTATTTATTTTATTTTATTATTTTGTTGTTAACAAAGGGTTATTATTTGATTAAGTTTTAGGGAATATTGGAATAGTGGATGGGATATGATCTTGTGAGTGTTAGTAGTGGGGTGTGTGATTATTATTTGTTAATATTTTTATTGTCTATTTAAACTTACAGTGGAATGAATAAAATATTATATTAGAAAAGTTATTAAGGTATTTGTGCAAGAGGTTAGGTTTTCTCCGTAAAAGTCATTTAAGGTCAGGCTTTCTTAATAGAACTGTAAATATACAATTTTAAATTTTACTCTAATTATTTCATTTTTTAATTATTATTTTATTATACAATTGCTTTATAAATAAAAAGATTGAGTGTTCTCTCACCAAAAAAAAAAAGATTGAGTGTTAGATACTTAAATGTTTCTAAGAGTAGAAGTAACATAAAATGCAGTTTGGTGATTTACTTAATTATTTTTAATGATTATATTAGTTTGATAATATTTGAGAAATGATTTGGAAACATATTATGAGATTTCCTATATATAAATTTAGAAATTAAGTATGTAAAATAATTTACATTATTATTTGAATGACTCAGAAAATATAAAATTTAATAATTAAATGTATTCACTTGATTCAAATTGCTTTATTATATTTGACTTATATATATATATATATATATATATATATATATATATATATATATATATATATATATATTGGTAGATTGATTTTATTTTAATAGTATTGAAAAATGGTGTGGAATAAAATATTTGAGAAGTATTGTAACATTTTTTATTTGATTTACGAAACTATGATATGCTTATGATTAGTTTAGCCTTTAGAAATTTATATATTATGGTTATGTTTTGAAATCGATTTTGGGGTGTAACTTTTAAAAAAAATTATAGGCTAACTGTAACAACCTCTTATTATTTCAGTATAAAGAATATCATATATATATTTATATATATATGTATATATTATTATATTTAATAATGATAATAAATAAATAAGAATATTAAAAAGATAAATTTAGAAAGATTAACTAGAAACGCTAACATCCTTCATTTATTACACATGGATGTAAGTTAGTACAAATATCTTACATTCTAAATATTTTACATCAGTTCCACACATATATTACACTCCTAACTACATCAGGTTACACTGTTTATTCATTACATACTTCTGATTTTTGTCTAGCCTATAAGTATAGGACTCCACACTGTCTACATGGAATATAGCTGCTGCTTCTTGGTTTCCAACTATTATGTAAAATTCCCAACGATCGTCATAAAAATAAACATTCACAGTCCATCCTTCTCCAGAAAAAGATAAGTTAGGCATGATAATTTTCTGGAAAGGTTAGCATAAAATAAAACAATGTGAGATAATTCTCAGTAATATTGAGATTTTTAAACTATAACCATTTCAAGCCGTGATAACGGAAAATAGTAATCTCTCAAGTAAATCTCATAAATTGGAATAATATCACAAATATTAATATTCAATCTCGTAATATTTAACTGAAGCTAATTTAATTCTCAATTTTGTGGATTTCCTGCATGTGAAAGGTTATGATATGGCGGAGCTCAAGCCATGATAAGACGTCCCTTACCCTCAAACCTTCTGATCCTAACTTTTGTGGGTCACTTCACAACAATATTATTAAGGTAAAATTTACACATTCTTTTAATATTTAAATGGTATCAAAAATAAAAACTCAAAATTCGAAAGAATCACATTAACATGACAAGTATAACAAAATTAAAAGAAAGATTAAGGTAAAATTATAGATAAAAACATTACTAAAGAATAGAAGAAATTAAGAAAATATTTTGGCATAACAACAACATACAACTTTCTATATATATATATAATATGATTGAAAAGAAGAAAGTAGAAAGAAGATTTTACTCTCTCAATATTACATTTTTATTTATCTCTTCCTCTTTCTTCACTGTTCTTCACCGTAACAAAATTTAACACTGATTGTTTCAAATGACAAATGGAAGTGTTGTTATCATGTATATATAGATGCTATAGGGTGTTGACTCACCCCTTCTTTCTTTTATGTTTTTCTATATTTTTTTATTTTTATTTTTTTACATCATTCCTATTACCTCATCTATATTACATCTCATTTATTAAGATGTGGCTTTGGAGGGGTGACCCATGTGGCCCCCTCCTTTCCATATATTTATATATATATATTATTACATTATTTTATATATTAATTTATTTTAATAATATTCATTTAATTCTTATAAAATAGTTATAATATTGTTATTATTTTTAATTAATAATTTAGAATATTTAGTTAGAATGAATTTAATGTAATTATAAATTTTAAGAAAATAATTTAATATATATATATTATTAAAATGTATTCTTATATTTACATGTTCAGATTTAATTATTTTATTTACCATATGTTATTTAATTTTTTTTTAAGTTAATAGTATTCATCATAAGATTTATCATATACTACATTTAATATTTCTCATATAATTTTATGTAGTCACACATGTAACATAAATAAAATTTATTTCTTTACTTATTTATTAATAATACTAATTTATTTATTTATAGCAAATATAATAATAATAATAATGATGATAATAATTTATTGATCAAATATTATTATTTTTATATTATTACTTTGACTATTATTTTTATTTTATTATTATTCGGTTATTATATTTTCCTTCTCCTAAATAAAATTTTGCCCTCAAAATTTAGACATACCTTCTAAAAAATATTCTGGATAACTCTGTCGTAACTCTTCTTCTTTTTCCCATGTGGCTTCGTGTGGTGAAAGTCCTTCCCAACGTACTTTAATTAACGAAATCACTCTATTTCTCAGTTGCTTTAGATTTTTGTCAAGGATTTGAGCTGGCCTGGTACTAATAGTCAGATTTTCTTTAACTTGTACTGAGTCTATATCGAGAATGTGAGAAGGATCTGGAACATACTTTCTAA